ACCCCAACCATAACATTATTTTTGGTTGCTACTTCATAACTGTAATTTTGCTACTATTATGAATCGGCATGTAAATAAATGATGTGCAGGATGTATTTTCATTCACTGGACTAAATTTGGCACAAATACCCGATATACCCAAATTGGAATACTGGTTGGGTTGGCGGGCAGGGATTGATTTTGTCATTTGAGAATTGTAGTTGCTGGGATTTATAGTTCACCTAGAATCAAAGAGCATTCTGAACTCCACCAACGATAGAATTGAACCAATATTGGCACACAGAACTCCCATGACCAATACTGGAAGGGCTTGGTGGGCATTGACCTTGAGTTTTGGAGTTGTAGTTCACCTACACCCAGAGAGCACTGTGGACTCAAACAATGTTGGATCTGGACTAAACTTGGCACGGATACTCAATATGTCCAAATGTGAATACTGGTGGAGTTTGTGGAAAATAGACCTTGCCATTTGGGAGTTGTAGTTGCTGGGATTTATAGTTCACCTACAATCAAAGAGCATTTAGGACCCTACTAACAATAGAATTAGGTCAAACGTCCCACACAAAACCCCCCATGACCAACAGAAAATACTGTGTTTTTTTGTGGTCTTCGGCGACCCCTCTGATACCCCCTCGCCATCCCCGCCAGGGGTCCCGACCTCTGGGTTGAGAACCACTGATCTAAGGAATATTTTTTTTATTGGTGTGAAGTTGTCCTCAAAAGTCTGTGTGTGGAGCAGTCCAGTTAGTGATGTTAGTGCATCTTTTCTTCATCCGCAGAGTTTTCTATGGTAAAGAAAAACCTGGGGGAGAAAACCCTGGGAAAATGCAGGAGGGCCATGCATGGAAGCTGTCTTTATTCGGACCCGAAATATAATTCCACAAATGAGGCCCTACAAATTGAGATATTCTGAGAGTTGCAGTTCAAAAAAGAAACTTCACCATGCTGTGTATTTGACTTTTATGCTCCTGGCTAGCTTCCCCTAACTCCTGCGGCAGGCGGGCAAATTATCCTTTGTATCCAAGGACATGGACTTCTATTTTTAGTTGTGAAAGTAACCTATATCTCATGAATTAGGCATGGCAGTATTTCTTTAAAAATGATAAAAAGAATGCACATCTTTTTCAGAACTGGCACAGTGAGTATTAGCAGTGACAGTACAAATTTTCTCCTGATAATTCTACTTTAGATTTTGCTAACGAGAAACTAAATACCAGAGTAAACACCAATGTATCCTGATCTGCTGTGCTAATCTTTAGAATTAGCTTGTATGGTCTCGTCCTGCTTTGGCAAGGCTTGAACTGATTATTCTTGCAAGCTTCGCTGGCTCACAGAGCCAGAATTTTCAACAGCTAAGGAGCTACAAACTGAGCACAATTTTATAAAGAAACTGGCATCCAGATATGGTGCTTTCTGGCAATGTAGTGCAGGTGAGAGAAGTCAGGTAATAATGTCACAAATGTAGAATAATGTATACCTTTTGCATCTATTAGAGATCTAGTCACAGGACAGCTGTCCTAAATTTTGCAGGCTCATGCCATTTAAACGTGAGCTAGAGGATCCGCTTGCTAAGTTGGCTGAGTCACTTTCAACTGACTGCTTATTTAAACTTTCTCTTGTTTGTAAATTATTCTTTTCTTTATCCTGTGGTAGTATATTTTTTCTGAATTTCTAGTTGGGCAGCCATGTTAGTCTTTTACAGCAGAAACAGACACACAAAATATTGAACCATCTGAAAGACTAATAAATATACCATGTTGTTAGCTGTAGACTATGGTACACATAATCAGATGTGTAAGTATTATCCTGTTTGTTTTGGTGATGTTTGGAGGGTAGTGAGACACCATTTATTCATTCCTAGAACATTGTTACATTATGTTCATTCATTGAAGAGCATGGTAAAACATTCATAAAACTGTTTTGAAACAACCAATCTTTAGTCTTTAAGTGTCATTTATTTGTCATACTCGGGTAGGTTAAAAAAACAAGCTGAGACTAATCAACAGATTTGAGTTCTTCCTTGTTTGTTCAGTAGTGTGGTTTCTTGGGTAGTTTGTTGGGTTATAATTGGGGCAATCTGGTTCAAATCTCTCATTCACTGATAATGCTCACTAGATCCAACAGCCAGTATTCATCGTAATCTATCCAATAGGTGTTTAGAAAGATAAAATGAGGAGGGAATGCACATTACTGTTCGCTCCTGGGTAGAAAGGTGTTACAGATGTAATAAGTAACTCTTTCCCCTGTAACCTGTGTACAAGTATAATAAATAACTATTTCCTGAATCTCTTGGAACCGAGATAGAGCACACAGTTGCCATCTATTTGCTGATATTGTAAGGACAAGTATTCACCTTTTGCCCTTAATAATTAGTGTTATGACTCTGGCCAAGCTACATTGTGATAATAGTGATAGGACTCTGTCTCAACCTAAATAATGGCATTAGCAATAGAACTGTGTGCCAACGTGCAACCTCCCTGCCTCACCTCATTCCAGTTTTCCGTGTAGCATAACGGTTCTGCATATCTGATGTCTCAAGGGTTTTGTAGAGCTGCCCATAACTTAAGGCAAAGACCTAAAAAGTGTGAACACAATGCCATTATTATTCTTCAAACATTTTGAGCACAGGTCTCCACAAACTGTTAGTTGTAAACATTGCTGACAAATCAGATCCTGGCTAAGCAGATAATAAACATTCTAGTTGTGTTTATTGCAGTCTACCAGATGTGTGAACCAACATATTAAGTCACTCCACAACAGTATTTATTGTTTTACAATCCAAGAACAGAATGCAGAATTTATACTTTAAACAAAAGATTAGTGAATCTGAAAGCAAACATGGGAAATGGCTTTCCTATAGGTTGAGACAGGAAAGGCTAAAGAAAACTGCCACAAAGACTATGTATAGAGAATGGACTTTGGTGAAAATATTATTCAGGCAATAAAGGTTATCTACTCAGTTCAAAGGGCCGTGATTTAAGTAGTTGCCAGTGCAACAAGATAGATTAAAATCCAAAAGGACAGCAGATAAAAATGACCTGTCTCACTTTCACTTTTTATTTTGATGTTGGCAACCCTGCTGAGAGATATTAGGAGAGATTGTATGGGAGCAGGTTAAAAAAAAAGAACTGTACAAGCTGGGAGTTTATCCAGATGATCTTGTGATAATAACACAAAACCCACTGGCTTCCCTGAAAAAACAACAACACACATTTGGAACATTCTCCAGGTTTAAAGGAAATTGCGGCAAAACAAATTTGTTGACTAAAGTGTCACCTCAGCCAAAGGCAATGAATTCCCTGCACTTTCCAATTCTGAAATGGAAAAAAAGGGTTTAAATTTTTGGGAGTTATAATTATGAATAACAACTGCTTATGATTTCAAAACAACAATGAAAACTCTGGAAAAAATGGAAAGATACTTAGAAAAATAGGGAAATGTAAATTTACCTCTTTTGGGTAGAATTGCACTCATAAAAGCAAATGCCAGGTTCTTTATTTCTCTTTCAGTTGGTCCCTGTTATAAGAAATAGAATACATTTATGCACTTGCATAAAAAGAGATTTCCAGCTTTGTCTAACAGGCAAAGAAATCCACAGTAAAGTTTAAAGCACTGCATGATGCTAAGGAAAAGTGTGGCTTGGAATTCCCTAAGACCAAATTATGATCATGTTTCAGGAACCTTTATCATTCATGATGGCACCACACGTTCTTTGTTGTCCCTGATAATGGGGAGAACTTTTAATTGATTCTGTACCTCAAACTCCAGAATGATCCTTGACCCTTTCTGTCCAAACCCTTTAGATGCCTGCCTCCTGTATTTGGTATTTTAGCTCCTCTTCAGAGACATCCCCTTTGTGTTCCTCGTCCAGGACAGCCTGCTCTACTCTAACCAAGAATACCTCATGTTCCCTAATATGTGTGGTAATATAATATTATTATGAGATTTTTTTTGGGAAGAGGGAAGCATCAACCTCGTCTTGCCCCGTATGCTGTTTGTCATTGTACTGGGAGCTGGATTGTACTTGATAATAGGACATAAAAGAGCAGCCCTCTTCACCAGCAGCAGGATCTTGGTGGTAAAGCTTGTGGTAATTTGGGGAGGTCACCACTGGGAGAAATTCAGCGTGTGTACAGGGAATAGGAGAGTACCTTCTGTAATATGAATGGATGATTCATAAAGACTGTATGTATTATATTGAAATGAGCATGCATAAACCCTGTATGTTCTGTATAGATATAATCTGTCAAAATTGATTTCTTATCTCCAAAATTTGGTACTGTATTACAGTACTTTATTTATACTGTGCCTTCTCTGAAAAGCCAGGTTTAGAAGAGGAAAATAACTAGAAATGGTTTTACAAAAATTCAATAATATTCAAATTTATATTATGTAAACAAAAATCACACTGCAGATACAATCACTAGAAATGTGATGGCATTTTGACACAGGAAACGGAAGCTAGGCTGCTCTCAACCAACAGCAAGGTACAAATCATGGTGGTCTTAATGGTCACTTTATACATACAAAATTCTCAAAAATGTTTTGAATTTAAGAGTGTTATTATATCAGACTTTGGACAGTGTTAAAAATCATGTCTCCAAATTTGTGATTGCATTAGTATAGTGACTATAATGGGAGTAAAAAAGGTTTTACCACTAGAAACTGGGATTATCTTTGTATAATATGCAAAACACTATATTTGATCTTGAGGAATCAAATATTTTCAGGGTGATATTTTCCCCAAAGACAGGCAGACAAATACCATAAAGCAGGCATGGGAAACAAGTGGCTTTCCAGATGCTGCTTAGACTGCAGTGCCCATCAATCCTAGGTGCAATTATCAATGGTGAAGAATCATTGGGTACAGCAGTCCAACATCTGGAGAACAACATATTCTTCATCCTTGAATTAGCCAATATTTTTACTGCCCCCCTCCCCAGTGAAAGTATTGCATACTTTCTATAGCACACTTTGTAACATGTTTTCTTTAATTTCAGGTTTAAAGAAGTGAAAACAGCTGGTGTGGCAGTCAGAAGATGGAAAACAACATAACAACAATATCTCGTGAGGAACTGGAAGAATTAAAGGAAGCATTTAGTAAAATAGGTAAGCTTGCTGAATTGTTACAGACTTCATCTGAGAGTAAACAAACAGAAACACAATTAAAAAGAAGATTAAACATTTTCTGCCATACCCATATCCCACCACATTGTCTTGGTTCTCAAAATACCATTGGGAAGGCCTTAATGATTTCAGATCTCTACTCATCTTGATTTATTTATTTATTTTGTATCAAAAGAATTGCATAAATTAGTATAAAACTGAGAAAAATAGAAGGAGCACAAGCGGCTAACTGTCTTTTGACCAAAAACAGGCAACAGCAACAGCATTGTCTGTAGTCTCCAACAATTCTCTGTATATGAGGCAGGGCATAGTGAACAAGCATAAAGATGCGGAGTTGTCTGTTCTGCTCCACAGTGACACAAGGAATTACCAAGTCAATAGGCCTTTGTACTGTGTAAGGCACAGTATGATGATTGATTAGTAATCTCACTGACTTAGTATTACTACTACTGGTACTTGCCAATACAAAGATGCATTTAAAATATATTGGGATGGATTCGAAGATTTACTTCCTCCAATGCACAGTATTTATATATTTATTTAGGGATTTAGGATATGCATAGTGTTAACTGTACAAATTAGGATTGTATACAGTAAATCTAAAATACTAAAAGCCATACATTACAGCAAAAGCTCTGGAAAATGTTAGGTTTCTTATGGATATATGTTTGTTGCAGATATATGAACATCCTTCAAACTACATAGAAGAATTAATACTAAGTGCATGGATAGTGTAATTATATGGTTTACAGAGTACATTTTGAACTTGCCACTCACTATGCAAGGGTCTAGAGATGTTGGGAGCTGGAATATACTTGCCACCATCTCTCTATTCCCAGTTTTAGTTCATTCAGATGAATGTCTGAATAAGGCTATTAGTATATGTGAAGCAGTCTTCTATGCATCTATAGGTGGGCCAGTATATTGTACCCATGAGGAGAAACTTTTGCATTCCTATTTTGTAATGGGTAGACAAAGAAAGGAAACATGCTTCTCTTAAATGTTGTCACAGTAATATTTTCAGGGTGGGTTTAATAGCTGAGAGAAGAAAACGGCCTATGTATTTAATTGTATTTGCTTAGTATGTTGACATTGTAATTCCTCAGCATGAGGTGACATAGCATAATAGTTATGGCATTTTTGTAGACTGATAGTAACCTCCATACATTGCCCATATTATTCTTCTTGGGTTATAAAAGCAGCTTGCCACTATTTTTGGTTCCATGGTTTCACTCTGGTTTCTTGTCAGCAATTTGCTGCCATATTAAGATTCAGGTTACAGGACACATCACATATTTTTATGAAGTCACGTGAGCTCCTGGAATATTTGTAACTTAACTATATTTTAAAACAGTTTTAAAGCAATTAAAGCAGTGGATGGATAATTTAGCCCATGCCTCACATAGTTCTTCATGTACAGTTCAAAGGAGATGAACTTTGTGATAGTGACTTGTGTTGTAGAAAGTGCTGTTAATAAATAACTTTAATGTGTTGTGTTCAGTCAGAAGGTGCAGTTAAGGTTATAATGGCTTGCTCCCCGTCACCTTAAAACTAAAAAAATGTAGTGTTGAGCCTGTAATCCTTGTAAGTTTTAGAGCTCAGTTCTCTGATTCCGTTGTCTTTTTTTCACTAGCCGATTGTGGCCATTTGCAAATGTAGCAGATAACAAGCAATAATTATTCTGAAAGCATATACTTGAGTGAAAGCTGATCTTAAGGAATTGGCGAGAGATAACATGTGTTACAGAGACAGGTTATTTTTCTACTCCGCAGAAACTTCCAGCTCTCCGTTGTCTCCGTAGAATACTAACCTATCTGAAAGTATTGCTAGGCAGGAACAAAGATACCCACACTGGGATAAACGTAAAACTGCCATCAATAATCATTAGTACAGGAAAACCATTTGGCCATCCCTCTGATAGCAAGTCTGGGTACTGAAGTGGTTATGGTGGAAGCCAAAAGGTGCCATTCAGAAATAAGGCAATAGTGTGTATATATCCTGAAAAATAAGCCAATAGTGTTTGTGTATGTGTGTGTTTATGTACCTGTCTATTATTTATTTATTTATTTACAGTTCTTATATTCCGCCCTTCTCACCCCGCAGGGGACTCAGGGCGGATTACAGTAAACACATATATGGCAAACATTCAATGCCAGTTTGACAAATAACGTTTAACAGACAAATACACCGAGGCTATTTAACATTTTTCTGGCCGCCAGGGGAGCTGCTGCTTTTCATCGTCCATCAACGACACCGATGAAGTTCTTCCGCATTCCACATTCCCCGGAGTCCTCTTTCTTTATGGCCTCATAAATTAGTTAAATTTAGCCTCCCACACAAGGTGGTACCTTATTTTCCTACTTGACAGATGCAACTGTCTTTCGGGTTGCAAAGGTCGACAATGGGCTACACAATGGCTGGACACCCACTCCAGCCCGGGCTGGCTTCGAACTCATGGCCTTTTGGTCAGAGTGATCTTAATGCAGCTGACACTACGAGGTCTTTTGGCCTTCTCTACGAAACAAGGCTGGTGTTCCACTATATAACTCTCACAATTTCATAGCATTGAGCTATCATATGGCAGGAAAAGTGGTATCAAACAGCATGCATTATACAGTGCAGATGCATCTACAGTCTTCCGAGCTCAATAGCTGCATGATGAGAGAGAGAGGGGGGGGGGGGGCAGCAACATAGGCAAGCCATATCTCAAACCAAGAATCCCAGAAATTGCTGCTGTCAGCATAAACTACATGTCTCTTAAGGAGCCTAGAAAAAATGTCATGCTCACTCCCCATTTAATGGACAGGGTCATAAGCCATAGAAGACCATGAGTACAAAGTATTTTCACATGCCCATTCCCATTGGAAATGGATGGATGGTCATCTGTCAGGGGTGCTTTGAATGCAGTTTTCCTGCTTCTTGGCAGGGGTTGGACTGGATGGCCCACGAGGAATCTTCCAACTCTATGATTCCATGATTTGTCTTCAAGCAACATTCTCCTGCATCTTATAGGATGTTAATATTTTTGGGACTTTTGTGTAAATACTGCTGCTGGAAGGAATTACTTGTACATGCGTGGAACACCATGTGCAGCTTCTTGAGTCATGGCCAATGTGCTTAATGTTACAATTTTCAAAGCCAGAGATTTGATTCTTGGTGATCATCAAGGCAAAATGCCATGTAACAACTCTTGTTTATATATTGTTATACACTGCCCTGGCTTTGAGAGTGTCATTGGGCAACACTGAAATAATATTTTCTTAGCATAAGGAAGTATGCAGTAAGCTTATAGTGTCTTTTCATAGGATCTGTTTTATTTAAAAATATGATGCAGGGAGATCATGCAAGCAAATAGATGCCTAAAGCGGGCAGCATGACCGCTGCTCCTGCATCACATTCACAGAGAGCAGTGTCTTCAGACTACAGGAGCTAAAAACTTACAGATTTGACCTCTTCTAAGCCTCACAAAAGCTATGGGAGTCAGCTAAGGTTCAATCAGCCGTTCTGCCTACACAACCCACCTGCAGGATTAGAGAGCTGTCGGTTTTATCTGGCACCAGGGGAGCTGAAGCTCCTCTGCACAAGAACAGGAACTTTCTGTTTGTCTCTTGTTAAGATATCTGCTGAAGCCAGGATTGAAAAGTGCAACTAAGGTCCTTTCAAGCTGTGCCATTTTTACTGTTTATCTGCAAGAACTTGTAAGCAAGGGTCTGTGAAGGAACGGTGATGTTTTCTTTCCCTAAGTTCACTTCAAAATTGACAACACTGGGAACAGGCAGAGACACAAACAGAGTGATGTTGAGAAAAGTCATAATGTTCCAGTAAACATTGTGTTTCAGGAAATAATCACTTTAATATGTCATCTCAATTTCCTAGAATTAAGATATTTAACAGAAGTGTTATAGGGCTGAAAAATTCCAGGGAGGAAATATGGGGATAGGTATGAGCTTTTTAAAATTTGTTTTGATGATGATATTTGTTTATATCCTGCTTTTTCGCCCATAGCTTGGGAAGTCAGGCTTTGCAATGGTAGTCCACACTCCTCTTATATCCTGAATAGACTACTGCAATGAGCTCTACGTGGGGTTGCCTTTGAAGACTGTTCTGAAGCTTCAAGTGATCCAACAAGTAGCAGCCAGGTTGCTCACCAGAGTGGTGTACAGGGAGTATACAACCCTCTGTTACGTCAGCTCCACTGGCTGCCTGTCTGCTACCAAGCACAATTCAAAGTGCTAGCTTTAGCCTATAAAGCCCTAAACAGTTTTGGCCCAGTTTATCTGTCTGAATGTATCTCCTCCTATGAACCATCTCAGAGATTAAGTTCATCTGGGGAGGCACTGCTCTCTGTCCCACCTCCTTCACAGGCACAGTTGGTGGCGATGAGGGACAGGGCCTTCTCAGTGGTGGCCACTCAGCTATGGAACTCCCTCCCCAGTGTTATCAGGTCAGCCCCCTCCCTCTTGACCTTGAGAAAGAAATTGAAGACATGGTTCTGGGACCAAGCCTTTGGGTAGAAATGTCATGCAATAAGAGAAGAGGGAATATGTGCAATCATGACTGGAATGGACTTGACTATGATTACGGACTGTGTGATTTTCAATAATTTTTAAAATGTTTATATTATTTTTTAATTTTATGTTTTAATGTATATGTTTATTTTATCATTTGTTGTTTGATAAGGCATCAAATTGTTGCCTATTGTAAGGCCACCCTGAGTGCCCTTCAGGGTGAGAAGAGAGGGGTACAAATGCGGCAAATAAATAAATAAATAAATAAATAAATATTCTCTCCACAAAGGAGACTCAAAGTGGCTTAAATTTAAAGCATTTCAAAACAATTAAAAACCTACAAATATACATTATGGTTTTCTTTGGTGATAATTAATTACATTGTCCTTTGGACTAGAATTCACAGAACCCACAGCCATCCTGGCTGGGAGAAGGGGCTGTAGGAATTCTGGTACAAAACTATTTTTTTCTCATTTTTGCCATCGTATTTTCAAGGAATATCTGAAACTATGAGCTGGGCTTGACTGAGTAATCAAGGGTAAAAAGACTTAAGACATTCAAGTTCCAAAAATAAACTACGGCAAATAAATTAACAACTGTAATTGAGTATTGATTATCAGTGGAGAGTATTTTGTTATAAGGTAATTGATATTATTGATATTTTAAGAAAATCTGAATATGCAGAAGTTGAATATTTGATTAAAAGGAATTCTATAGCTTTGATTATTTCTGTGTACATACTCATTTGAAAATATTGATGTATATACACTGCAAGAATTAGTTGACTATTAAGGAATTCTGTTTTACTGATTACACAAGCCAACAAGTATTTTCCATCAGAAATAATTTTAAGTCATTCTGAAGTCAGATCTGTGTTTATTTTTTCTTTATCACGTGTCGTTTTGCGATGGGGCTAATCAAATAATTAATGAATGTACACACTGTTATCAATAGAACCTAACTGATATCAGTGCCCAAATGCATTTATTTTTGATTAGCCTTGTCGCAAAAACTATACATGATAGAGAAAAAAATAAACACAGATCTGAATTCAGCACACAAAACTCTATAAGAATGACCTAAAATTATATCTGTTGGCTTGTGTTACACAAGTATGATGTGAAATGTGCAGACTTTATAGTAGTCCACTGCAATGTACCATTCATCATATTTTTAAAAGTTGATGTGATGGAAAAAATAACGACATATTTAAAATCAGCATAAAAATTGATTTAAACTGTGCTACTCTCATTTCCGATTATTGCAAAAAGTTTGATTTTGTTGGGTTGTGTTATTAGGGGGGTTAAAACTATTTTAATACTTAAGGATTTTTAGTATTTAGTTGAAAGGACTGAATTACAATAAGTTAAATGGCATAAAAGCCTTTTTGATATACTCTTTTTAAAATGTATTTAGCATGAGAAATATAAAGACAAAACTATCTCTACCTATGCAAACTAATAACAATGCAGCTGTAAATGTATGCATTTGTCCAGAAACCCTACTGAATTGTGTTCACACAATAAAATAAAAATAATGATGTGGATAATGACAACATTACATATTATATTTACAGATATTGACAATAGTGGATATGTCAGTGATTATGAACTTCAAGATCTTTTCAAAGAAGCAAGCCTTCCTCTACCTGGCTATAAAGTCCGAGAAATTGTAGAAAAAATCATTGCAGTAACAGATAACAACAAAGATGGTAAAATCAACTTTGAAGAATTTGTATCAGTAAGTATACTACTCTCTCAAGCTCTGTGTTTACCTGGAGTGACCTGTTTAGTACTATGTAGTAGGTTATAAATGAAATATGAGGTCATTACTAAACTATACTTTTCAGAGCTTATTGTGTTACATACTCTAGCTTTCTCTTATATAGTACACCTCTATGTGGTGTATTATCTTCATGTAATGTATCTGCACACTAGGAATGTGAGTAGTACTGATTTCTTTGCCATGCTAGTTAAGGAATAGCGATAGGGCTCCAACTCCTACAGTGGTATTCAGTGGTGCGGCTGCATTTAGTGAAATAAGCAGGGAGTTTATGGCCATATGCCCTAAAATAATAATTTAAAAGTTTATTTAGTAACTTTTTAAAGAATAAACAGTATATCCTTCAATGAAATCCATCTGATAAAATCGGTTTCTTAGATGCGAGGCTGTCCAAGATTTCCAAAGAGTTGCAGCATGAAATAGAAGGAGATATAGATGTACAATAAAAGCAGTGTGTAAAAGCTGTGTACATCTTAAGAAGCTTATGACATCTTACGAAGCACATTATTAAAATCCCTAATCCCTCAAAGAGGAAGAATGGTTGAGATATAAAGATATTACAACATTTGGAAATGATATGTTCAAACTAATAATAATAATAATAATAATAATAATACAATGTTCCCTCCCTATATTGCGGTTTGCTTATTGCAGACTCGCTGTTTCGCGGATCTGCAATAAGCGGGGGGGGGGGGGGGGCCAGGTTCTGGGCCTTACCCTGGGGCTTGCTCCCACCACTTGGTAGGAGCCTTGACCTCTTCGCCGAGTCTGCTGCTTGCCACCTCAGAGGCCCTCAACTTGTCCAAGGGGCCTCCAAGGCGGTGAGCAGCAGATTCGGCGAAGAGGACCAGACCACTGCCAAGTGGGCGGAGCGTCCTTACTTCGCAGATTTTCACTTATCACAGATGGTCCTGGAACAGATCACCTGCAATAAGTGAGGGAATATTGTAATAATAATAATAATAATAATAATAATAATAATAAATTTATTCTTATATCCTGCCATAATCTTCCCAGAGGGACTCAGGGCAGCTTACAGATGGAACAAAGTGCCTAAAAAAACAACCATAAAAGTGAGCACAATCTGAAATACAATAAAATAAAACACATGCACATATAAAAACATCAACTCAGACTCAATCAAGCTGCGATCCTCTAACCGTGGTGGTAAATTACTGTGACCATGGCCGGGCTGTAAACATTAGGAATAAAATAAGTGCCAGTTGCAGTAATGGAGAGAGAGTATGGGATAAAGTGCAGGATGTTCGACTACTATGCAGGACAACTAGGGGCTAAATATTCTCAAAGGCTTGATTGAAGGACCTTGTCTTTAAGTCCCTATGAAAGGAGGACATTGTGGGAGCCTGTCTAATCTCCCTGGGGGGGGGGGAGTTCCAAAGTTGTGGGGCCACCACCAAAAAAGCTCTCTCCCTCGTCCCCCACCAACTACATTGGTGGCGGGACCAAGAAGAGGGCCTCCCCAGCAGAGCCCACGTCGGTTCAAAAGGGGAAGGGATCACGAAGATAGGCAGGACCCAAGCTGTTTAGGACTTTATAGGTGGTAACTAGCACTTTGAATTGGGACCAGAAACTTATCGGCAGCCAATGGAGTTGTTTTAGTAAGGGCATCATGTGCTCCCTTTAGCTTTGGACCAATTGCAGTTACTGAGCCGCCTTCAAAGGTAGCCCCATATAGTGTGCATTACAGTAATCTAATCTTGATGTAACTAAGGCATGGATCACCGTGACCAAGTCTGGCTTCTCAAGGTATGATCGCAACTGGTGCACAAGCTTTAACTGTGCAAAGGCCCTCCTGACAAACTGAAGGAAGAAGTTATACAAATAGGGTGGTTTACATATGGACAGTTAAATGAGAAATATGGGAATTACTTAAAAGAACAGCATTTTGAAAATGGATCATCAGAATTGGAATAAATTCCATGGTCAGGAAAAACCAAGTATATTGGGAGGATTCTAGGTTGCAGTTAAAGAAGTACTATGAACTGTTGCTAAAAAACTTATCACTTAAAACTTATGAAGCTTCCAGGTGGAGGGTGCTGGGATCACATTAAGGGCATATCGTTCATGAAACAGACAAATCGTTATACTCTTTCTGCTTTCGTGGAGGGAAGAAAAGGTAATAGGACGAGAGAAAGAAATTTCAGACTCTATGGTGTTTTTCAAATCATATGGCTTGGCTCTCTAGACCTCCCTAGGAATCGGAAATTTGAGGAATAGGTGACTTGAAGCTCTCGGCTTTCATCTCTTTTTTTTCCTTTGTGTCCTGAAAACTGTGTTCTTGCTGCCTTCACATTCATTTCTACTCATGGCATTTGGCAGTGACAGTAAGACCTTGGCCCGAGTACAAACTCTCAACATAAATTCTACATCTATTTGGTATTAACTAAATTTTTGTGGAAAGAAAAAAATGGGGGGGGGGGAGCAGTATAAAAATGCCAGAGAGATACAATTCGGAGAACAACAGCCACCTGGACGTTCCATAAAATTCAATGCATAAGGCAGAGTATTTGCATGTTAAAAGCCTCATCTGGAAGTACCTCTGAGCTGATTTGCGGTATTTAAAAGCATTTTAGATGTCATATGTTTTAAAGAATAATAATGAATTAGTAATGTAGCCTAATACAAGATGGAGCTATCCAAAGTGTCTCATCTTTCTCCAAATAGGAAGAGCTATGATAATTATATGGGATGATGGGAGAATATTCATGCAGTCTGTAATTAGCAATCTTCAGTAATGTCTGAATGAGAAAAATGCTTAATGGATGCATAGCTGATTAGCTATTATGTGGGTTCAGTCTAATGATAATAACAATGTGAAATGACCTACACTTGTTTGCATTAAAAAAAAACATAAGAGGGAGCAAACTCTAAAGATGATTATGTATCTTACTGGAAAAAAAGATTTTATTAATCAATGTAATATTGCTGCATTAATGATGTCTTCCTGTATTCTTTCCTTATTTAAATGTACAATTCCGCCTTGCTATCAATTTTCTCCTTGTTTTTTGCTCCTTCTTTTGCATTTTTCCTTAGCTCATTCTGTAGTACAGATTTTAAGATCTAGTGGTTGGGATAATTATATGGAAGGGAAAGAAATGAATGGGAGGGTACAAAGTTTTGCACTAGGCTAGTGCATAAAATAGTGTTTGCACAAGGTTTTTTGTTATTGTTTAGTCGTTCAATCGCTTCCAACTCTTGTGACCTCATGGACCAGCCCATGCCAGAGCTCCCTATTGGCCGTCGCCACCCCCAGCTCCTTTACACAAGGATGTTTTGCATTTATATTTTGTTATAATGTTGTTGTTTTATGTTGTTTTAACTTGATGTTAAGCATTCTAATGTTCTACATTTTAATTCTGTTGATTGGGATCGTCCCCATGCAAGCCGCACCAAGTCCCTTTGGGAAGATGGAGGCGGGGTACAAAAATAAAATTGTTGTTGTTGTTGTTGTTATTGTTATTGTTATGATTATTTGCACAAGCCTATTGTGTGTAATATATGTAGTATGCAGGAACTGTATGAATAATTAACTTTTTTGTTCCAGGTTATTCAGGAATTGAAGAGTAAAGAGATTAGCAAATCATTCCGAAAATCCATAAATAAAAAAAAGGGAATTACCGCAATTGGAGGAACGTCATCAATTTCTAGTGAAGGGACCCAGCATTCTTATTCAGGTAAATAATTAATCATTTGTTCAAAGAAGAATAATCTGTAAAACAATAAACTTATATTTGCATTTAATACAAGAACATTGCCGTATTTCTAACATTTAAATGTTGACTTAAATTTTTTTTACTGTTTTGTTTTTTAATCTGACATGTTTACTAGAATGAACAGTGCAGATAAAATAATGTTTAAATGATTAATCTTACAGCACTAGTTCCCAGTAAGCATTCTTTAGAATCTAATTTGCTTGGGCATGTGTGAATACCACCTCCCACTAGCAACCCAATTATGATACATACATAGTGTTGGAATAACAAAAGGCCACAACTTGTTTATTGCTTACAGAAGAAAATAAGGGTTGGCTGTCGTGCATGGTCCTGGATCAGGGATGGACAGCCCACTGCTGTTCGATACCGCTTAACCACGCCAGGGGATGCTACTGTTTGCAACCGGCACAATACACCTTTACCGTCACACCCCTGATAAACCGCCAGATGCTCCCCCCCTCCAATAAGGGGGGGGGAAGCAAGCCAGATCCAGGGCCCATGCTGTATGTTTGCAAGTTGTGACAAAGGAACAAAGCACAATGAAACCATCAGTCCAATTAAACATATGAAGGGTGGGTGGAATGGCACATCAAAAGGTACGCTGCCTGCGAGGAGCCTTGCACAGCCTTAATAGGCTGCTCGAAGTTTGGGGGTGCCCCCTGATTGGCTAGGCAAAAGGAGGCTTCCACTGATTGGCCGGCCACCAGCAAGCATTCTTTAGAATCTAATATTCAGGAATATATACACCTTGTTATTGTTATTATTTGCCTTCAGGTCGCCTCCAGTTTATCGTTTCTTCACAAAATTAATTTAGGGGAGGGTTGCCTTCCTCTGTGACTGAGTAAACACGAGTTAACGTTAACTAGTGAGTTTCCATGGCTGGGTAGGGATTTGAACACTGGTTCTCGAGTTATCATTTATTTTATTTATTTACAGCTTTTATATTTCGCCCTTCTCACCCCGCAGGGGACTCAGGGCGGATTACAGTGTACACATATATGGCAAACATTCAATGCCATTTTTGACATATAACATATACAGACATACACAGAGGCTATTTAACTTTTTCTGGCTGCCAGGGGAGCTGTCGCTTTCATCGTCCATCTGCGACACTGATGAAGCACTTCCGCATTCCCGCATGCTTCCCCGCTGGAATGCTTTTGCTGGAGTCTTCTTTACGGCCTCATAAATCGGTTAATTTAGCCTCCCCACACTTTAAGGTGGTACCTTATTTTCCTACTTGACAGATGCAACTGTCTTTCGGGTTGCAAAGGACAACAGGCTAGACAATTGGTTGGAAACCCACTCCAACCCGGCCTGGCTTCGAACTCATGACCTTTTGGTCAGAGTGATCTTAATGCAGCTGACTTTCAGCCAGCTGCGCCTACTAACCAACCTACTACATTTGCTGGTTCATCTAGAGAATAAGAGAGGAAACATAACTGTACTAGAAAGTAGTCTTGTGCATTTATACAGAATTACTATCCATTTCTGTTCATTCGTGAGGCCCCATTTTTTTTAAGTGCCTCTCCCGAAAACAGGTGCCTTTCCAAATGAGCTTTTTCATCCCAGCCCCAAAAATAAATAAATAAATAATATTTTCAACCTATTGGTGGCTATCAGCGGGCTCCCCTTCCCCTCGGTTTTAGGCACTGGCAGGCCTGCACGCCACACACGCACTCTTCTTTCCAAAAATCAGATGACCAAAGGTTACCATTCCCACTTTCCTTTCATTTCACTGACATTTCCATACCAGGAGGGGTGTACTATTTCATGCCATCCAAATGAAACAAACAGTACGAAAACACAAATGGGTGAAATGGTCACAAGGCCCATGACTATTGGAAATACTACAGATATGCTACAAATGTGCTATAGATATGCTACAAATCACTACTGGGTTTCACTGCATGGTAAGAGCCAGCACTGCTTACTGCATGGTATTATTCGTGTAATGATAAATCTTGCTCTCAGTTCATTTGAATCAGAAAAAGGACTGAATGTTGGGGAAGTAGCCAGTCGTTTATTATTAAAACTTCATCTAAAGAAAACCACCCTCTATTTGAAAATATATGTTGCTTAGACTCACGTGGATTGGATTGTACTAGTAGTATAACGCTTAACAAATGGTAATGGAGCAGAGTTTGAAAGGGTCTATATATCAAGGTTTCTCAACCAGGAGATCATAACATTTTTATTAAATTCCTTTTGATGTGCCCTAATTTAAATGTATGAATTCAAACATTAACATCCCTATTTCTGAAGGACGGGGCTTGGATTTGTTGATCCACTGAGTTCTTTCCAGTTCTGTAATTATATTTTATGATATTTGTTCAGGCTTCAACAATTAAGTGAACCTTTTGTTTTATGCTTCTTTTTATTTCTTTTGCAGAGGAAGAAAAGGTTGCTTTTGTTAACTGGATAAATAAAACTCTTAAAGATGACCCTGACTGCAAACATCTTCTCCCTATGGATCCATCAGATGATAGCCTTTTTAAGTCACTTGCTGATGGCATCCTCCTTTGGTATGTTTAGTGTCCATTTTATATTTTAAAATGTTAACTAGAAAAGCAAATTGACTGCTGAATTGCAATACTGAAACACATTGGGTGCAGTCCAGCCAAAGTTAAACACTGTTAAGTCCCACTGATTTCAGTAGGGAGCTTAAACTTTTTCTTTCTTTAAGTTAGTAGGAAGGAATTAAACTATGTAATGTCTTCATTCTGAGATGTTAGTATGTTTTCACATACTCCTTAATCAAGTGTAACAAGTGAGACTTGCAACAAAATGTTATGATTCCTCCTGGAAAGCAGGACATACTTGTTCAGTTTCTTCCAGCTTTCCCTGTGTAGCACACCATTCAACCCTTTCCTGTTCTTGCATGTGTTAGACATTCAGCATGTTTTCATTAGGGAGCTCAATCAGTCCTTATTGATCCAGGGGAGTCATGCTACCCCTATATTCTGCCTTGGACAGACCACACCTGGAATACTGTGTCCAGTTCTGGCCACTGCAATTTAAAGGAGAGTTGACAAACTGAATTGTGCCCAGAGGAGGGCGACTAAAATGATCAAGGGTCTGGAGAACAAGCCCTATGAGGAGCAGCTTAAAAAGCTGGACCTGTTTAGCCTGCAGAAAAGGAGGCTGAGAGGAGACATGATAGCCATGTATAAATATTTGAGGGGAAGTCATAGGGAGGAGAGAGCAGTCTTGTTTTCTGCTACCCTGGCGACTAGGATGCAGAACAATGGCTTCAAACTACAGGAAAGGTGATTTCACTTGTACATTAGGAAGAACTTCCTAACTGTGAGAGCTGTTCAGCAGTGGAACTCTCTGCCCCGGAGTATGGTGGAGCCTCCTTCTTTGGAGGCTTTTAAACAGAGGCTGGATGGCCATCTGCCTGGGGTACTTTCAATGCGATTTTCCTGCTTCTAGGCAGGGGGTTGGACTGGATAGCCCTCGAGATCTCTTCTAACTATGTTTCTATATGTGAAGGTGTTAGTTTTTGTTGTTTTATGCTTCTGCAAACTTCTGGGTGTTTTTCTCTCTCCCTTTTTGGTAGCATTTTAGCTATATAGCTATGTACACTTACTATCATTGTTTCCTCTTAAAAGTGATTTTCAGTAATAATTAAAAAGTCCATGTGTTTTCTGAATTGCTGATATTTATCTCATTTATCTGTATACATACCTGCGGTGTTAAGAATGTTAGCATATATACGTTTATACATATAAGTGTGTTGAATATATTGACTAGGTTACCCTTTACATACATGAGAGATACACACCCTCAAATTCCTGAGCAGCAAGGAAATCGTATTTGGAAAGCTAAATTTTTTTTTTGTAATTATTTTTGCTGCCATAAGACATGGTAAAGTTTATACTACAATAAAACAGATGAAATCATGGACAGATCTGCTAATGTATACAGGCAGTCCTCATGTTCAGAACAAGATAGGTTCTGTAGTTTTGCTCTTAAATTGAATTTGCTTGTAAGTCAGAACCAGGACATTTTAAAGTGTAACTCCAGCCATATATATATATATTATTTAGCTTTGGATAGGACAGGGAAGGGCTAACACCCCTGCGGTGTTTGTTATACTGTCTGTGCACCTATTGAGAAAATTTTACCTCACTTCTTGTGGAAACATGGATTAGTGAGAAAGCGTCAATTGAGACACCTTTCCCCCTTTTTAATTCTTTCAGAAGTGATTTTCTCTTCCTAGAGATAGATTTCCCTCACTTCCTGTTGCCCTATCTGGTTCTTAACTATGAATTGTTTGTAAGACGGATGTTTGTATCTCAGGGACTGACTGTATATGGAACCTTGCTATTTAGAAGCAATATGCCAGTGAATACCAGTTTATGGAAAACAACTTTAATGAAATGCTGGCTGTATTTATACCAGGCTCCTAATAGCAGCCAATAGACTAATATGGGAAATGGGTTCTTGGACCTTTTTCTGCTTCAGCATTACATGTTTAAATATGACATATTTATTGTGAAGAAAATTGATCTGCAATATAACTTGAATTCTTGAATATTGGAATTCACTATATTTCATGAGCTAAAGTGTGCAAAACATTCTGTTTTGGTGGTCACCTTAAGATCTGCTGGCCTCAAATTTTAAAATTTTAAAATCAGTAATTTGATAGATTCTAGTTCTTTAGTAAAATACTCAAATTCCATGAGCTGTATCTCTAAATCAGTGATTCCCAACCTTATTTTGACCAGGGACCACTTCACCAGGGACCACTCTCCAACATTAATATCAAAAGGGCTACAAATCAGTTTCTGATGTAGAACATATGCCATCCAGTTGTCGCCATCTGCTCATCCACAGAAAACCATATTTAATAATCTAGAGCTGATGTGATAGTAGTAATCTTTCATGGGTAGTCAGCTTCTCCCCTCCCAGCATCCCCGTTGCCTCAGCACTATAAGAGGGTTTTGCAAGACCTTGATTGCCTTGAAACATGTGGTTTTGAGCCAATGGTGTAGTAATGGTGAGGCCACGGACCATATTTTCATTCTTGCAGACCACTGGTGTTCCAAGCACCACAGGTTGGGAACTACTGCTCTAAATGATACAGTCAGATTATACTAAATGAAAAAATTCCATCCCTTTCTCTTGTGCAGTCCATTAGTACTTTGGATTGCTTGGCAGTTTTGTTTGGTATCAGCTGCTGTTATGAGACAGATTTTGTGACGTGGCTTTTTTATAGGTAAAAGTGGAATTAATTTTACTTACTAGAATATGTCTTATTAAATCCTGGCAAATTTACATGTTGATATACATGTTTGGGAACATGATTGTCAGCTGAATGTTGAAACTCTCACCACTAAAAGCATTGTATTTGAGTTTTGAGAGTGGTACCACAGAAGATCTGTCAAATTCAGTGATGCACAACATTTATTTATTGTACAGTCACTGAGGTTGAACATGGATATGTCAACAAACTCTCAGTGGATTAGTTTCAGTTTTTTGTGTGCTTCGAAAGCACCCTGATAGTTCTGATAATTCTGTCAGTCACTAAGGCAGTGTTTCCCAACCTTCATAATGCCACAACCCTTTAATATAGTTTCTCATGTTGTGGTGACCCCCAACCATAACATTATTTTCGTTGCTACTTCATAACTGTAATTTTGCTACTGTTATGAATTTTAAATATCTGATATGCAAGGTGTATTTTCATTCACTGCACCAAATTTGGCACAAATACCCAATATGCCAAAATTTGAATACTGGTGGGGTTGGGAAGGGATTGATTTTGTTATTTGGAAGTTGTAGTTGCTGGGATTTATAGTTAATCTACAATCAAAGAACATTCTGTACTCCACCAACGATGGAATTGAATCAAATTTGGCACACAAAACTCTCATGACCAATAGAAAATACTGGAAGGGTTTGGTGGGCATTGACCTTGAGTTTTGGAGTTGCAATTCACCTAGATCCAGAGAGCACTGTGGACTCACACAATGATGGCTCTGGACCAAACTTGGAACGGATACTCAATATGCCCAAATGTGAAACCTGGTGGAGTTTGGGGAAAACAGACCTTGCCATTTGGAAGTTGTAGTTTCTGGGATTTGTAGTTCCTCTACAATCAAAGAACGTTCTGAACCCCACCAATTATATAATTGGGCCAAAATTCCCACACAGAACCCCCATGCCTTGAACAGACTTGCTGGTGTGAGCCTTCCTCCAGCCTCACATGCTCTCCCTCGTTCACATATGCACACCATGCTGCCATGCGCCAAGCATGCTTGCTCTCCCCTCCTTGCTTGGAGTCTCAGAAGGTAGGCTAATCACAGCAGAGGAGGGATTTTGGTGGGAGGATTTGCCATCTGTTTCCAAAAAGGAAAAGGACAGATAGAGAATTCTCCGGCCTTTTCTGCCAAAGGGGTTCTTAAGACCATCAGAAAATTATATGTTTCTGATGGTCTTTGGCAACCTCTCTGAAACCCCCTTGCGACCCCCAGGTTGAGAAACACTGTGCTAAGGGAAGTTTGACCTTCCTTATATATAGAATGTTTTGCAAATGCCTGAATCTTTGGAAAGCATATTATTCATTAAATATTTCATTCTACTGTACAGTATTGTTTTTTCTTGAAACTCTTTCTGATTTTTTGCTGCAGTTTATGTTGATGAGTTTAATATATCAAGATCTTTTTAACTGTTAAAATATGCATTTTGTCTTTTATAGTAATTTGATAACTATTTTCAGAAATATTGACCTTTTCTTCCCCAGCAAAATGATTAACTTATCCCAATCCGACACAATTGATGAACGAGTTATTAATAAGAAGAAGCTTACCCCATTCACTATATCTGTAAGTACAGCACAGCCCGAATTTGAGTTCTTCAATCTAAATCAAAAGTTTGTTAGGAAAAATGACAAAACAACACTGTAACATAAATAGAAATAGTAATGAATTGTAGTTGTGATTAAACACCTAGTTGTTTCGAGTTCTTATACAGTATGTACCTGTGTTGTTGTATTCCCTATAAATAGCACCACTTGACATCTAATGTAAGCGAAACTGTGATGATGGAAAGCTGCAGAGTGTTTTCTGCCTTTGTTTGTTTGCAAACTCATTTGCAGTACTCCAGTGGCCCTTTTGTTACAGAGATACTACATTTATGGAGAAAAAACAGTTCCACTTTGTTTCTGGAGGAATCTAATAATAAATCTCCCAATAAGGCATTGATAGTCCTTGCAACTGTAGAATGGTTTGATATGAGTGCCCTAGTATTTTGTGGGTATCAGTTACAACACAGACACAGTTTCACTTCCTTCCTTAGCTAGATTATATTACTATCTCAAATAATTGCTCACACACCCCAGTTCAATGATGAATGATCACAGAAGCTCATAAAATTGTGTGCACAATTAACTAAATAACCTACAGTAAGAGAGATAAACTATAAACTTACGATTTACATTGCTATTAATAGGATTTCATAACATTACACAGCTTGTCTGCCTGAGTTATTACACTTAATGATCTTCTGTGAAGACATTACTGGGATGTTCTTCTGTTATCTCCCCTCTCTGCATATATTCAAATATTTATTGAGCCCTTATTTTCCTTCCCTCCTATTCTGAGTGGCCTAGCTTTTATACATTTTTCTCCAGTTTAATGTTTGTCTCTCTGACCAAGCTGCTCCTTCCTTCTGTATGTTCAGGTTCAGTTTGGTTCTTTTTATATTTGCAATATACAAATGCACATTTTTACATACTTGATACCAATGCCCCAATTTTCCCTTTTTTCTCAATCCATGCACTATGCTGACCTTGAGATGGGGTACCATATTTCTATAGAAGTGTGTTAGGTCATTAGTATCAATGTCCCAACACATTAATTTTACATTTCAGGTGCTCTTCTCTCTGCAAGTTCTCCTCTGTTTCTGCATTGCTTCATTTATCTTTTTTCACACAGGATGGGTGGGCATAAAAATATGAAATCACGACACTTTGTAGCAGAAATTCGCCACTGGCAGCAGCACATACTCTTATTTCCTGAAAGAGGAAAGGAAATACCACTTTCTGTCATCATCACAATTTCCTTCTGTCTTGCTCTGAGAGTGAAGTGGAAAGTTGATGGACCTTGTGGAAAGCAATGTTGGTCACACAAAGCAGTTGGCACTTCTCTCCACAAAACCAGTTGTCTCCAAATGTCCGATTCTGATAGTGTATGGTGCAGCAATCTCCCAGGGAAATCGACCCACAATATTCCTCAGAGCAAGACATTTGTGGCCTCTTTAGTTTTTAAGAGCAATGTGATGGTCTTTTCTCTTCTGCAGCATTGCCAATGGGGGACTCAAGGAGACCTCTAATGTTCTGCTGTAAAGAACTAAGTACCTGTTTCCTGACTTTGCCATGTACTCTGTTTAGCTGGGGTACTTTTGAGAGTAGCAATATAGACCTTAATAATAATAAAAAACTTTATATCCCGCCCCCATTACAACCTGATTTTTTATCCCTTCCGAGCCTCCCACTAATCATAGCACCTTCTATCTATCTCACCCACGGGTTTTATAATTTTTACCCATCGCATTTAGCCCAGCTCACTCTGTCTAATTCCTTTAGCATTTTATAATTTGCATTTATCACATTTTTATTATTTGTATTGCATTACTATGTTTTTGTTAAGCATTTTATTTGATGTTATTGTCTGTTTTATATGTACTTTTGCTTTATTGTAATTGTTTGGGCTTGGCCTCATGTTAGCCGCCTCGAGTCCCTTCGGGGAGATGGTGTCGGGGTATAAATAAAGTTTTATATTATTATTATTATTATTATTATTATTATTATTATTATTATTATTATTTTCTCCCCTAGGGGACTCAGGGCGGCTTACAAGGTGCTACATGGTGCAGCATATAACATAAACGGTACATGGGTATAAAACAATATCACATAACTTATAAAACAACCACTATCAAAACATACAATAGAAAATACAATAACACAGACCATCTGTAAATAAAACTAGCTGCCATCAATTCACAACTAAAGTGCCAGAGTGTCAACCTCATATGGGCCCATATCAGCCTACTCAAGCTTAAAAACCTGCTTAAAAATCCATGTTTTAAGGTTAGATCGGAAAGATTCAAGGATGGGGGCTAACCTAATCTCTTTTGGAAGGGTATTTCAGAAAAGGCCCTCTCTCTTGCCCTTCCCAACCGGGCTTGAGATGGTGTGGGACCAAGAGAAAGGCCTCACCATTGATCTCAATAGTGTTGGACTACTAAATGTTGTCTTTTACTCTGTGCCACTTAAAGTGGGTCATGCACTTGGCCCAATGCCTCTGGTTGAAGGAGTCAGACACCTGGAAATCCCAACTATGAATGCCATCTAGTAGTCACTTGGCTAATTTTTTTAAAAAAAAACATATTAAGAAAACAGTCCAGATGGTAAGAATAGCAATGACTGATAATGGCTTTCCGAGTATTTCAGAGAAAAAGATTGAACATTGTGAAAAGACTCATGTACTATTATCTTTTAGTTTGTCATTTTGTGTTTAAAGAGACCCTGACAAAAATTTCATCCCACATCATCTTGTTAAAAGCTCTAATGCAATACATATCCCTTGTCGGTTTGTTCTACATATCTTTCATAGAGTTATGTGTTTTGAAATGATAGCTATTGCTCTTCAGGGATAAAAAAAATCCCAGTTTCTAATTACTTGCATTTTCCTTTTTCGTTCTAGGAAAACCTAGATCTTGCACTGAATTCTGCATCAGCTATTGGTTGTACTGTAGTCAATATTGGATCACAAGATCTAAAGGATGGCAAACCACATTTGGTGTTAGGACTGTTGTGGCAAATCATTAAAGTCGGGCTTTTTGCTGATATAGAAATATCCAGAAATGAAGGTAAGAAATTAACTACCATCAGGAATTCTGAAATAGGAAATCTGTGATGAAGCATATCTTCTCATGTACTTTCTGTAACTTGAGAAAAATAAAATATTAAATAATAAAAAATAATTTTTATTAATTATTATTTTGTAGCCCTTATTGGTTTGCTAAGTGACGAGGAAGAATTAGAACAATTAATGAAACTATCTCCAGAAGAGCTCCTGCTACGCTGGGTTAACTATCATCTGAATAATGCTGGATGGAAGAAAATAAGCAATTTTAGTCAAGACATTAAGGTATATCTTAGTCTAACTCCCTAATAGTAAAGGTAAAGGTTTCCCCTGACATTAAGTCTAGTCATGTCCGACTCTGGGAGGTGGTGCTTATTTCAATTTCTAAGTCGAAGAGCTAGTGTTGCCCGTAGACAACTTCAAGGTCACGTGGCCGTTACTTTCCTGCAGAAGCGGTACCTATTGAGCTACTCATATTTGCATGTTTTAGTACTGCTAGGTTGGCAGAAGCTGGGCCTAACAATGGAAGCTCACCCTGCTTCCCGGATTCAAACCCCAACCTTTCAGTCAGCAAGTTCAGCAGCTCAGCGGTTTAACCCGCTGTGCAACCATGGGCCCCAACTCCCTAATAAAATAAAATCAATTATTTTGATTTTGATTTGAAATCTTTGAACTAAACTGATCTAGACCATTCCAAAAATCTTGTTTACCTGCAGTAAATTCTGATGAAAATATCCTTTTTGGAACAACATTGCCACCCATGATCAAAATATAAAAGGTGTAATTAATTCATGTAAATATTAGGTGGCAATAAAAGGGACAATTCTATCTTTCCAAGAAACCAGATGAAATAGCATAAATGTTATGTTACTGTTTATGATGCAGGAGTGTTTCAGGGTGCACATGTCAACCTGCAGGACTCAACCCCCTCTGATTCCTCCAGCATATCCTTGTGTTGGCCCTGTTGAAGTCAATGTGAGGAAAAATAAATAATTCCTCCTATGGGACAAATAAGAGTACATGATACAGGAAGAAAATGACAGTTTTTACTGTCCCCACACCTCTTGTTGTGCCAAAATGTCACTAGTTGGATGGAGCCAATGCTTTCATTATTATTATTTTTCAGGACTCAAAGGCCTACTTTCATCTGCTCAATCAAATTGCACCCAAAGAAGGCACCAGTGGCGAGTCTGCCATTGCAATTGATCTTTCAGGCCTTAATGTAAGTGTATTCGCAAAATATACTTGTACCAAACAACCACAATGTGCTTAAGTAATCACAATCTTGCTGTTCTGGGTTTAATTGGGAGTATATGAGCCCTCTTAATCCCAGGCTTTAGAACTATATTTTAAATCTAATACAGTCTTACGTAAAGTCATGTAAAATGTTAAGATTATATTTTTTTCTAAGAAGCACAAGTTATATTTTTTCTAGGAGCAAAATGACTTGAAGAGGGCTGAATATATGCTTCAGCAAGCAGACAAATTAGGCTGCAAACAGTTTGTGACTCCAACAGATGTGGTTGCAGGCAACCCTAAACTTAACATGGCCTTTGTTGCAAACCTCTTTAACACCTTCCCTGCACTGCAAAAGCCTGAAAGTTCTTCTTATGATGTCAATTTACTAGAAGGTGAGTTCTGTCTACATGGATTGTTTGTCATTAGGAAATTACAAATACAGTTGGGCTTTTTAAATGAATTGATGCCACACAATTGATCCAAGAGCTGCGAAGTCTCATGTTTGCAAACACATACACACACACAAACACGCAAAGCAGAATTATTTTTATACATCTGTTAGAGCCTGAATAATGTCCAGCCAATACTGATAGGTTCATTCAGAATTTCCTTGACATTCTCCTTCAAAGACACTTTGACAGAGAATTAGACTCCAGCTAAGTACTGCTGTGTGATATAAAAATAGACCTAAATAAAGCCATGTTGGAATAGATCCATGGGTCTGTCTAGTACCATAGTTAAGCATTATGCTTTTAACAGTGACTGTCTGCTTCTATGACACTTAACAAACTGGAGACAAAAACACAACGTCCTTATACAGTTTTAAGAGTGATGGATTAGGACTTAGAAGACCTAAATTCAAATCATGACAACAGTGACAATTCTTTGTCTCTCTGACTAATATGCCTCACCTAGTTGTGGTAAAAGTGGAGAGAAAAAAAAAGCACATCACTACATGGAAGGTGAAATATATATGAGGTAAATAATAATAACCATAGCAGTAATTCATATTCATAAGTACACTATCCTCTGATCATGAAAGTACAATTCGTTTACTAGGGTCAGTTTCCTATTATATTCTTACCTTTCCTTTTAAAGAAATAATTCAGTTTCCAAGCCATCTAAACCTGTGGCCATCACTATATCTAATGACAGCAAAATGTCTAAGTTAATTACACATTTTGTGGAGTGGGCTTTTTTTGTCTGTCCTAAATCTGTGGCCAGTCTCTCAAAAAGGAATTTGTCCATTATTAGGCACACAGTAGCTAACTATTTAAAGTTGAGACTTGGCCAGCATTCAAGAAAAAATGAAAAGAAACTGCCCAGCACTAATTGATCAATTATTGCATTCCATTCCTACCCTTTCTCAATGCATGACCTGTTTGGGGCCAGTGGGTGATCCCTGCCCCATGTAAATAGCTTTAAAATATATGTTTTCAGAAGACCACAGCAAGGAAGGCAAGGTTCAGTCTATTTCATCACGCTAGAGAATGAATCCACTTTAAATCCGGTTTCTGCCTCCTGCAGAATTCTTGGATTTGTAGTTTAGTGAGGCTGTTAAAGGCTCCTCCCTAAACTACAAACCCCAGAATTCTGCAGGAGGCAGAAACTGGATTTGAAGAAGATTCATTCTCTAGTGTGATGCCTCTAGTCATCTTCTCTACTTGTTGTGATCCCAATAATGACTCCTCCTCAGCAGCTGCATTTTTGCAGTCACATATATCTATTAAATGCAAGGTACACTGAAAATCACATCCACTGTAGTCATAAAACGTACCCTTTAAAATTATTGAAGTATTTGTAATTATACAGATTGAACTATCTGCAGAAATGTAGTTCAGCTGAAACATGGATGTTGGCAGTGCTTTGCCTGGCCTCTGGTCCAAATTAGACAGCAGCGGGGGACCTGTTGACTGTTTCTCCGGCCTTTAGAGCAGGCTAGACTTGGTTCAGGGAACACAAAGGTGGTGGTTATTTATCCAGTCTTCCACCTCCTCATTATATTTGGATCTAAATTGCTGCCATGAAGCTGCTGTTTATTCCATAAGGGAAACATCTGTACCTGTATGGCAGGGGTCCTCAAACTATGGCCCAGGGGCCGGATACAGCCCTCCAAGGTCATTTACCCGGCCCTTGTTCAGAATCAACCTAAATCTGAAAGCACACAACAACAACAATCCTATCTCATCAGCCAAAAGCAGGCCAACACTTCCCATTAAAATACTAATAAGTTTATATTTATTAAAATTGTTCTTCATTTTAATTATTGTATTGTTTTTAAGTGTTTTTTTCACTACAAATAAGATATGTGCAGTGTGCATAGGAATTCATTCATGTTTTTTTTTTCAAATTATAATCCAGCCCTCCAACAGTTTGAGGGACTGTGACCTGGCCCTCTGTTTAAAAAGTTTGAGAACCCCTGCTGTATGGTGTCTGTAAACATTTCCTGATGGAGGGCTCCTGATTCTAGTATTTAGAATGTGCTATACTTCTAGTCTGTCTTTTCCAGTTTAATGTTCTGTGGGAAGGAAAAGGATAGTAGGGAAAAGGGAGGAGTGATATGAATAGAAGACACTGTTACATGAAGTCTTCATAAAATCCAGTGAATGAGGCAAGTCAATGTGTGATGAAAGCCTAGTCAGAAAGTATTCCCTCACACCACAAGAGACAAAGAGGAGGACACTTTAGATGAAACAGAATGGGAGAAAAGGCCAAATCATTTCCTCCTCAGATACAGTCCAAGGCTGATTTGATAGTATGTGGGTGAGGAGGATAAGAATTGTGATAAAGGTGGGAAGGAGATCTAATTACAAATCTCCCAGCATGTCATCTAGTTTGGACCTCAAAGGCTCTATTTTGTGGCAGTAGTTTATTTAAAAGAATATTATATGAATGGTGGATACATTCATTTCTTAATAGTTGTTTCTTAGGTGAGCTGTCATAATCTGACAATTCATAATTTTCCTATTTTTCTTCATGAAATGCAGATTTGACCCCTCCTAATGTAGGTACTGTATTTAGTATTTTTCTTTAGCTTGTAAATGTGTTTATCTCCCTTCTCTCCCAACCTTCCCTTTATTATTCTGACTGCTTTCTTCCTATTTGTCTTCCTGCATTGGTTATACTGCTATCTTTCTTTTAATATGCCGTGATAATTGAGGAAAAAACATTACAATAATTATAATATTCATCATTCATCCATTCATTCAAAGAACCCTACGTAAATGCCAGCTTGACCTAGGTTTACACAGATAATTTGGTTGTTGTAGGACCTATGATTTGGTGTCTTACAAGGAAAAATAGACGTTTTAATTCAATGAAAATTATTTCCAATACAATGTATTGGGTCCAAATGTGTCACTCTAAGAAAAGAAGGCCTCCTTTCCTACATCAGAGGAACTAGACTCAAATCGAGGCTTCTCTCTATAAGTGTTGTTGGTGAGGCCAAATATAGCTCCCATGCTGCATGCAAGGTTTTAAAATTGGCCGAAGGTGCTTTCAGATGCCCTCTAAGGAGCATTTTTGCAATGTTTTCACCCCCAGACCAATTTGCAGTCATAAAGAGAAGTAGAAGTGATTTCTAGTCATTTTCTTTTATTAAAAATGTCTCTTCTGAGCATAAAATCAAAGGTCTTAAAATCTGATCAGCATTTTTAATCTTATATAAATGTTAAAAACTCCTTTTATTGTCGATCGTAAATACATTATGGCTGTTTTGTCATAACAATTACAATGAGTGGTGTGACCTTCTAAGTTTTCTTGGGGACTAATTTAGCCCCCTAGTTTTCCACAACTGCCCATCTCTATTCTAAAGAAAGTGAACGGGTGGTGAATGTAATCCATTTCATTTTAACCCTCTTAGTCCAGAGTACTTCCTTCCACATTGTTTTCAAGGGCCCTGCAGTCTTCTTGGACAGCTTTTCAGTAATCACAAGAGCATGAAGTAAGGGATGCCAAATGTTGCCTAATTCATCCAGCACTAGTCGCATGTCTACTGAGTGTTAACTCTGGATTAAACCTTATTTATTTATTTATCTCCTATATTTTGCCCTGCCCTTATCACCCCCGAGGGGTGACTCAGGGCGGCCTCACAAAAGCATGATAGGATGTCGACATAAAAAAAATTCAGCAATCAGCAATACATTAAAATATTTAAAACAGTAATTAAACAATAAAATAACATTGATTTATAGAAACATTCATATATTGACTTTGATTGAAACAAGCATAGAACTCTTCATATACTTCCTGTTGGCTGTCAGAAGGACATACAGCAGTGGTTCTCAACCTGTGGGTCCCCAGGTGTTTTGGCCTTCAATTCCCAGAAATCCTAACAGCTGGTAAACTGTCTGGGATTTCTGGGAGTTGTAAGCCAAAACCCCTGGAGACCCACAGGCTGAGAACCACTGACCTACAGAGAATGCACAGCATTAAACATAGTCTTGAAATAATAATCCTAAAAGACAGAATTATAAAGTTCACTTTTACAATATGGACCACAGAGATAATGTAAACTTTAAAGTCCTTAAGTGTCTGGCAAAATCAAGCATATGTAGCTGACAAAAAATGTCATGCAAACTTTTCTTAGAAAGCTTCCATAATTTGAGAGCTTCCTTTGAAAGCTCTATTTCAGTGGTTCTCATCCACTGAAGGCCTTGTGGCTAGAAGTGAATTGATTTGGCCATGGTGGTTCATGCATTCTTTATCTCCCAAATAAGGGGGGACCATAACCACCTGCCCTAGGATTTGGATTCATCTGGTCTCTGGACATATTCAAATTCCATGGCTCTGCAAGACAGAATTCTACTGTAGCCTCTTTCTCTGTCTATATCATTAGTGTAAATCAGATCAGTTGACAATACAAAGCATGAACAGCCTAGGAGGGAGAGTATTTGGGATTTCACAATTTTTCACTTACAATGAAATTGTGAGTTAGGTTGCTGTGAGTTTCCCAGGCTGTATTGCCATGTTCCAGAAGCATTGTCTCCTGACGTTTTGCCCACATTTGTGGTAGGCATCCTTAGAGATTGAGGGATCTGTTGGAAACTAAGTAAGTGAGGTTTATATATCTGTGGAACGTCAGGAGAGAATGCTTCTGGAACATGGCCATACAACCCGGAAAACTCACAGCAACCCATTGATTCCAGCCATGAAAGCCTGTAACAACAAATTGTGAGTTACCCATCAAATACTGTATGGACATTTAAGAAACACTTTCACATGCCAGACTGTTACTCCCTCTGTGAAGGACAGTGATTTTTGCTATCATAAGAAATGTCGCAAGTAAAATTCTGCCTGAAGTTACTTAGGCATTTATATCATGCCCAATCTGCTAACTTGAAAGAGAGAGAGAGATTTGTCATGTTGATTAGTAACTCATGTCCCTTCTTGCATATTCTCTCAGCATAATATGTTTCAGCATGGTTTAATGGTCACAGAAGAGAAATGCTATAGGGCACGTTGTACACATGGCCCAGTTTCTGTGATTTTCCCATTATTATTTTTCATCTGACACATAAAACATAACGTATGTTCCCAGAAGGTATCTTCTGGATAATGAGACCAAGTCAGTGAAAAAGAGTGGGGATGGGGAAAGTAATGAAATGCTGGCCAGTTTTCAACTATATGAAAAGCCTACAAATTCTAATGTGTCCATATAACAAAGAATGTTATTTAGACTGGCATATTAAATATAGTGTGTTATTTTTAGTTCTACAGCTCCTTTTAGTCAAAATTGTATTCTTTTCAACTTGCACGCTATTGTTCCTATTTGTCTAGAGTGGACTTTTTTCCTGGCATTGTTCAGCATGCCATTTTAATTCTCAGTGTGAATGAAATAGCTGAATATTTCCTTTAGCATCTATGAATACTTCCTTTAGTATATTTCTATGCTCTCTGTAATAAGCTTGCTGGAAGCATTTGCTAGTTGTCTTAAAATGTTCAAAATATATTTCAATTTTTTTATCTCATATAAATGTCAAAAACTCCTTTAATTGTTGATTCTAAATACATTATGGTTGTTGGGCCATTGCTGATGGTCCAGTTTTTACAAGCTCCCCCCCCCCCATAAGTAAATAGGTGGAAAATATGTCTGAATTTGAGTAGCACCAACCATTCTGCCATAAAGAGAGTTTTTATAGAGATCAGCATACTTAAAGTGCATATACCTGTGCATAAAAGCTGCCTTATTTTTGCTTCCCATCTCAGAAAATCAAAATGATTAACTGGGTTGCTATGAGTCTTCTGGGCTGTATGGCTGTTTTCCAGTAACATTCCCTCCTAAAGTTTCACCTACATCTGTGGCTGGAATCTTCAGAATCTCCCTGAAAATGAACAAAATCTGGCAGTAAATAAAGAACAACACTCAGGAAATGGGGATTCCAGACAGAAAACAATCAGTGCCAGTTAATACCTCCCAACAAATGATTCCCCCAGGCAGGAAGCAGATGGGCTTTGAAGCTGCAAGGCTATTCAGTTCTAATCAAGCAGGCCAAGTGTAACATTCACACTTGCCTCAAACAGACAAGAGTTATTTCTCCCTCCCTGTACATTCCACAGATGTATAAACTTCACTTGCCCAGTTTCCAATAGACTTCACAACCTCTGAGGATGCCTGCCATAGATGTGGGTGAAACGTCAGGAGAGAATGCTTCTGGAACATAGCCATACAGCCCCGAAAACTCACAGCAACCCAGTGATTCTGGCTATGAAAGCCTTCAATGACATCATTAGATTACATTGCTGTCCCTCCTTACCTGAGAGTAAGCATTAAACCACGTGGGTCGTATTCTGAGCAGACATATATGGCAGACATCTTAATTTGGTAGACTTATTTAAAAAATAAAGTTATATACATTAATATGTGATAGTATTGGGTATAGATAAATTAATTTTCCATGAAGCATGAATGATTGAAAAGGCCAAAGTAATAAAGAGATACATAATAATAGTTTCAGAGGAAATTATGAAAAAGCTATGTTCCTTAGCTATAATCATTGTGGAGCATTAAAGAATGTGATTCCTTACCTCCCATTTGAAATAGTGCAAACAGCTTTTCCACCTCAGACCTCTACCATGAAATTCCTACCTTGTTCTGCTGCACATATAGATTAGAGATTTTAAACAAGATGTCATTGGCCAAAATGGCAAGAATAATTCAGAGCCGTGAAAATCACATACAACTTGAGTATTCCTTATCTGAAATGCCTGGGTCCAGATGTGTTTTGCATTTTGTATTTTATTGTATATTATTTGCATGTATGTATCCTATCTTGGAGGTAAGACCAAAATCTAAATATGAAATTTGTTTTATGTACACATTACACACATAGCTTGAAGGTAATTTTATAGACAATATTTGTAATAATGTTGTGCAAGAAACAAAATTGTGTACACTGAAACTTTAGAAAGCAAAGCTGTCACTTTTGTTTTTGAAGCATTTCAGATAAGAGATGCCCAATTTGTACTACAATAATTTAGTCCATAACAGAATACTCAAACTTAATGTTATGGATTAAGGACATATTTTCATTCAGGGAGTTTCATTTCCTTTCCATTTCCTTTCATTCAGGGAGTTTCATTATCAGGTACATTGCATGACATTGTTTTTACTGTGGCAATTTTTGTCTAAAAGAGGATAACTAGGGATACTGTTAATGTAGTTTCTCATACATTAATTAGTTTTTGTTTTAACACTAAATGGCCTAAATTCCCTTTTAGTCTTGACTAGAGTGAACCCACAGATGTACAGTAGTCAAGCTTATCCAACCTTCGCTCATCCAATGTTCTGTATTATCTAACGGAGCCTGCCTCCTGCCCGGATCCACACCTGTTTCAATACATTGTGATGTTTTGGTTCTAAATTCGTAAATACAGTAATTACTACATAACATTATTGTGTTATGTAGTAATTGCTTTTTCTTTTGATTTGTTGCTAAATTTGTGGAATAATAATGTAATTTGATGTTCAATAGGCTTTTCCTTAATCCCTCCTTATTATCCAACACTTTCACTTATCCAACGTTCTGCTGGCCCATTTATGTTGGATAAGCGAGACTCTACTGTATCTATGTGTTTACACAGTGTTAGATTTAATGGGTTTATTCCAGGTTATTCTGATAGGTTGCTAGTCTACATGTGTTCTGCATTCTTTCCACTAGCTGTTCTCTGTTACGTTAGTTATCAGATAGCCCTGTCACTATTTCCGTTAGATACCAATAACAAGCCATATATTATGAAGAGAAGCGAGGTAGAAATATTATGTGGTATTCAGCTTAATTAAACTAAACCTCACAAACAGAAGTAGTTAGACAAAGTGAACATGAACATGGCATTGATAAACTTTATTTGTAAATATCTTAGTAATATTGAGCCATCATTTAGTATACTGGATTAAATAGCTTAGACTCAGAATACTTAGATTCAGTATACAATTCATTAGGTAACCTTCCACAACTCACTCACTCTCTCAGTCAAAATAGTTATTTTAGGAAAAAAGGATTGCCCCACATTTATATCCTATGTTTTTGGAGCAGGGTCGGTATATAATTAAGTCATTTGCATTTGGTTTCATTTTATTATTTAAAATTGTCTCTCTCCTTGCTATCTACTCCCCTTCACTCCCTACCACCAAATAGTAAAGTTTTGTTTTCCTTTGTATACTAGTGTGTCTGCATCCCTTTGTAGCATAAGGATGTACATCCTTTTGGTAAGGACCATGCCTTTCGAACCTTACTCCATTTTTACCCTGCTATCCAACTTTCAACAGCTAATCGGGTCAGATGTGATAGTTGACAGTTTGTCAGATCACTCCTCTGAAGAAGATATAATTCTTTTATACTATCAGACTAATGGCAATTAAATATCAGATATTTAAATGTGTGTTTTAATACATTCTGTATCTTTTTGCTATAGGGGAAAGTAAGGAAGAGCGCACATTTAGAAACTGGATGAATTCATTGGGTGTAACCCCTTACATTAACCATTTGTACAGGTAATTTGTATAGTATTCTTGACAATTCCTCCTTTTGACTGATGTAGAGTGCAATAATCTTTTATTAAAATCTCATGAGAAACATCAGGAGATTTTAATAAATCTCCTGGTGTTAAAGGTTGTATTCTTCTGCCAAACCTTAAATACAGAGCTCCTACCATCAATACGGAGATGTCAGCATAGCGCCACTAGTGTCTCTTTCCTCCAGCCCTTTTGTGCAACATAAGTCATATAAATTGCTAGGTGCAAATTTCTGATGGATAGATATGGTAAGGAAAGGGATGGGGCTACCGTGTTTTCTCTCAGAAAGGACTAGGTCTGGATTTTGGCCACCTTGGGCCACGGTCATATTTTGGTGATGTGGTTTTGTTTTTGTTTTTTCATGTCAGGAGTGGCTTGAGAAACTGCAAGTTGCTTCTGGTGTGAGAGAATTGGCCGTCAGCAAGGATGCTGCCCAGGGGACGCCCAGATGTTTGATGTTTTACCATTTTTGTGAGAGGCTTCTCTCATGTCCCCACATGGGAAGCTGGAGCTGACAGAGGGAGCTCAACACATTCTCCCCAGATTCGAACCACTGACCTGTCAGTCAGCAGTCCTGCTGGCACAAGGGTTTAACCAAAGGGTTTAACCCATTGTGTAGAAAAAAACACCCGAATTTAGTATTTTCCATAAATTGTTGTAATATTGTACTGTATTCTGGGATGCACTCGGTTTGTACAGAGTTGGCAATTGTGGAAGCATATTGGGATCTTAGGGCTGTATATTCCTTCTAGCATGGCTGAAATACCTCTTGAATTGTACGTCAAGGGTGACAGTAATACTTGCAGTATAACTTGCAGATAGAGAATATGTGTGGCCTGCCCAAAGTAGTTTGATTTCATCTCCCATCATCTCTCACAGTTGGCCATGCTTAACCAGGTCGATTGGTTCTCCATTATTTGTGTAATCTATAACATTTTGTCTTTCCTTGGTTGATGATAGCACAGTAATTTGAAGCACTGTTATTAATCCATGAGAGTGATGCTAAGAAAATAATGGAATGAGAAAATATAGGAGGGCTAGATACTCAACATGAGAATACTTTACTGAGCACACTGCTGACTATATTCATGGACTGATGGTCTTGTAATGATATTTTTTCCATTTTCTCTCTACACTCTGACCAGTGACCTTTCAGATGCTTTAGTAATCTTCCAGCTGTATGAAATGATCCGCGTACCAGTAGAATGGAATCATGTAAACAAACCACCATATGCTGCTCTTGGGGGCAACATGAAAAAGGTTGGTAAAAAATCTGAATTGGAATTTACAGTAGCCACTTAAACATGTGCTTAAATTACATTACATAAATTGGGTTGGTATACCGTTATAATCTCTGCTTAAAGTACCTTATTGTGAGGGTTATAACTGTGGATATGTATGGTAGAGAGAGAGATCCCAGCAATCAAATGGGCATGTTGAAATAGAATCCCTGAAAATTAGAGTATCATGTGGAGTAAGTGAGTGAGAAATAAGGATTAGGGGGAGCCTATAGAAAATATATGTTTACCAACCCTAATGTAACCAAGTGCTTTCAAGAATTTTTGGAATTTAACTGCTATCAGCCCCAGTCAGCATGGCCAAGTGTTTAGCAATGCTAAGGCATCTAAAATTATGTGATACCTTTATATGCAGGTGGAATCTTTTAAAATATATTTAAGAAGGTGTCTGGCAAGCTCCTTTTATAAAGTTTTTTTATGTTTGCTGTTCCCTTTCTTTTGTGTCCATCTAGCTTTATGTTGTTGTTTTTAAATAGCAGTTTTGTCATTGGGAGAATGATGAAGGAGGGCTGGGGAAATGTCTGCTGTAAATGCAATAAAGTTCCTGCCTTAGCTTTGTGTGCCTGCCTACAGTTGATAAACTAAACAGCAGGTGCCTCTGGAATCAATTACTGAAAATGACAGAAAGAATGTTTTGTCCAAAATGCTTTCCAGCTATGATCATGTAGGTGACATTTACTCTTTTACTGCAGGATGTTCTTGCTATGCATGTTTTGTGGCTGATCTGCTCTTTCCAAAACACAATTTTAATAAAATATTTCAAATGTGTTTGTAATTTCTATAAACAAATTACTTTTAGATTGAAAACTGTAACTATGCAGTGGAACTGGGAAAGAAGCAGGCCAGATTCTCATTAGTTGGTATTGGTGGACAGGACCTCAATGAAGGCAACCCAACATTGACCTTAGCACTGGTGTGGCAGTTAATGAGAAGGTAAGTATTTATTACAGCTCTCAAAACACAAGTCTTTCAGATCAAAAAAGATTCTGTTTGTAACCAGACTACAAATTTCATTTATAGTTACTTGCAGCTCTATTTACTTTTTTATTTGCTTATTTCTATTACTTGAATAAGCTCAAGTCAGCATATTTGTATTCTCTTCTCCCCACATGTAGCTTTTGAATAATAATGTGAGGTTGGTCAGATTAAAAGTGTGTGACTGGCCTGTGTTATCAAGTGAGTTTTGTGATTCTGTGGAGACTTGAACCTGGATCTTCCACTTCCCAAACACTAATCCCCGAACACTTAAACACCACAGTAGCTCTGAAAAATCATTTATAATCTTGAGGAACTTTTCCAAATGAGATTGTACAGTGCAGTCCCATTTGTGGGACTTCATTCACCACCAAGGGTTTTAGGACTCCACCCTTAGGCTGCATCTACACTGTTGAATTAATGTAGTTTAACATTGCCTGAATGGCCATGGCTCAATGCTGTGGTTGAACACTGTGAAAGCCATCCACTGCATGGCTATCAGCCTCCTCCCAGTAGACTCAAATCAAGGAAAAGATTCATGAGAACCACCACTCCTCTTAACATTCCCCCAGCAACAGCAAGAGTGTCCGTCTGAGCAGCTAAACCAGGAAATTCTAATTGGATGCCCCCCCCCCCCACCGACCCACCCCACAAGGGTCTGCCTCCAGGGGTAAACCAAGAATGGGCAACTTGGAAGTCCCTGAACAGACTCAGAAGTGGAGTGGGAAAATCAAAAAACAAACTGGAAAAATGGCACTACCTAAAAGAATCCTCCACCTTATGCGACTATAGAGCAGAACAGACAACTCCACATCTGTGTGGTTGTCCGCAGTGTCCTGCCTCATGCACAGAGGAAGAATTGTTGGAGGCTACAGACAATCCGATTGCTGTTGACCGTTTTGGGACAAAAGATATTTTGCTGCTTGTGCGCCTTCTATTTTTATCAGTTTTATACTAATTTATACATGTCTTTGATATGAAATAATAATAGTGTTATGGAATCATGTGAGTTGCAGTGTGATGAGGTACCAGCACTAATTGGGAGAGAAGAGCTTCTCTCCCAATAACATTGAGTCATGGCAGTTCAAGTGGTGCGAAGCTATATTAATTCTATAGTCGAGATACAGCTTTACCTGCCAGTGCAGGGAGCTAGCCCTAAACATCTCAGTGTATGCACTGTAGCTTTTATCCTCTGTATTGTGAGGATTGCAAAGTTTAAAATTTCAAAGCTAATTAGCTCCGAAGCAGGAAAATGGAATATTTGAGTCAGAAAGTAAATGTGGCTCTGAAAGTTTATACTTAGGGCCTAAAGAATATGAAAAAATGCTTGTGTTCTGAACTACAGTTATTTATTTATTATGAAGGCACTTCTGTTTTCCTAAAAAATGTAAACATTTTACACACACACACATATATATAGAATAAAACATGCGAGAACATGGTATTTTTCAGTTAATAGGATAAAATATGAAGTTAAAAATATTACGGATGTCAAGAGGTATTGTAGGCTCACTGGGAGAGCCACATATGATTTGTGGGCTATGTACACAATAAACATAGCCATGGTTGTGAATTGTGAGAGGCTGAAGGACAATCAAGGTAGTTCCTAAGAGAAATGGAAAATGGTGCAGTTTAGAATGGGAAGAATAATAGTGAACCAAAGGAAATCTTTAACTTGATTGTTGGGGGATTTATCAACCCTAAGCCAACTTGCAATCAAGAACAAATTCTAACCTAAAGAAAGAAAACTATGATGAATTTGCAAAAGAGAAGATGGAAATAGGGACAGAACTAAAATTTTATCTCGTCTGTTTGTTACCCAGCAGTTGAGTTGGATGCCACTTTGATTTTGTTTGAATCCCTATTCTGTGCTAGTGTTATGAAGTCAAATTCAATAAAGGCAAATATTGTTGTAGCTTTGTGTTGGATTGTCTGTGTTCTCCATTTCCAGTGCAGTACTCTAAAATTATTTATATAAGAATACAGTTTTTGTCTTTACTTTGCAGATACACACTGAATGTACTATCAGACCTTGGAGAGGGGGAGAAAGTGAATGATGACATAATTATTAAATGGGTGAATCAAACTCTTGCAAATGCAAATAAGACCACTTCAATAACTAGCTTCAAGGTAATTAAAAATGATCCAGAGGGGAAAGAAGGGGGGAAATGGAAATGAATCCTATTACTTTTTTGTGAGATTGGATTTATAACAGAGAGACTACAGTAGTCCACCTTTAAACACTCTTTTGAGCAATGAAGATCATGTATAAGATTATGCATTTCCTCAGAAAGATGCTACTATTTTAAAATATGTTGAGTTTGGAAATATTCCATGTTAGTCTGTGGCAGCAAAAAAAAAATCTTGTGGCATTAATGAAGACTAACAATTCTGGGATAAGCTTTTGTGGACTGCATAAATTTCTATCATTTCAAAAGCAACATGTTAACATCATATGGTTATATAGATCAATGGTTCCCAACCTGTAGTCCACAAGAATGAAAATATGGTCCGTGGCCTCACAAATTACACTATTGCCTCAAAACCATGCGGCAACTAGAGCAACTGGTCTCGCGAAACCCTCTTATAGTGCTGAGGCAACAGGGGTGTTGGGAGCGGAGAGGCTGACTACCCCCAAAAGATTACTACTACCACATCAGCTCTAGATTATTAAATATGGTTTTCTGTGGGCGAGCAGATGACAACTACTGGATGGCATATATTCTGTATTGGAAACTTGAACTGATGTGGTCTATCCAATGCAATTTTCTGAATTAGCACCCCAAATAACCAAACCAATTTGAACGCTTGACCAAAAATTTATTCGTAACCCTTTTGGTACTAATATTGGAGTCTGGTTCCTGGTCAAAGTGGCCCTGGTTTAAAAAAAAGGGTTGGGAACCACTGATATAGATGTATGATTGTGTATGTATTTAAGGTTACATTTGGCAAGGACCCTTGAGCTGTTATTTTTTATTGCTCTGTTTAAATAGAAGGGGGGGGGGGAGGAAGAAAACATAAGGTCTTCACATGATAGGAAAATTTAAACATATTAAACAACCTCAAACCTTCTCTAAATGGAAAATGAATCCTCTATTGTCATACATGTTTGTGATTTAATAGTAAATTATGTCAGAAATGGGAAAATTGAAATCCCGGACACATCAGCTTGGGTTTAAGTGCACAATGTTCGTGGTAGCACTTAGCATTTGAACAAATCTGGAAATCATAACTTCAATCAACTGAACAGGAATAATATTCTCAAGGAACAAATTTAATTACATCAATCTTTGGCACCTCCTACTGGCTGCTTAATATTATGATTGAGACTTCCCATTTGCTGCAGCTGTTGGAAGGTGACTACAGTAATGGCACCTGCTATTTTAAGACAGGGAGGAAGTATATTTCAGTATCCTAGAAATAAAATCTAAATCTCAGGACAAGTTCAAAGTAGTATTGGGTTTCCAGAAATAAACAGATTATTCCATTTATAAACAAGCAGAAGAAAATCCTAATTACATATGAAAGTCAACAGGACTGAAATAAAAATATTTGAAAATGCAGATGCAAGAAATTTATTTTCTTTATCACATACCTTGTGATGAAAATATTCATCCTTGACAACATCTGAATGAAATAAAAAGAAGGAAGATCAAAATGATCAGTTTTGAAAAAGATGGACATTCCCTGGTAGGGGCTTTCACAGTTCTCACTGCAGCACATACAATCTTATTTTCATTCACTTTTCAGCAATAAATACATTCTGTCACTGTGATTTATATGCCAATGAAAAAAAATCAAAAGTAGAGCAAAAACACTGATTTGTGCGTAAAGGGAAAGCATTTGTTATTCATAATAACAGTAATAAATAACTAATGAGATATTTGACCATTTCTCTTTTCAGGACAGATCCATAAGCACTAGTTTGCCTGTACTAGATTTAATAGATGCCATTGCACCAAAAGCAGTTCGTCCAGAAATGGTCAAGAGGGAAAATTTTACCGAAACAGACAAGCTGAATAATGCTAAGTAAGTATGTCACTTTGGCACATTTGGCACTGTTTTATGATCAAACTCGAGATGCACATGACTCGTTGTACAGGTACTAGAGCAGTGGTTCTCAACCGTCCTAATGCCGAGACCCCTTAACATAGTCAATTCCTCATGTTGTGGTGACCCCCAATCATAACATTATTGTCATTGCTAGTTAATAACAGTAATTTTGCTACTGTTATAAATTATAATGTAAATATCTGATATGCAGGATATATTTTCATTCACTGGACCAAATTTGGCAGAAATACCTGATATGGCCAAATTTGAATACTGGTAGGGGTGGGTGGATGGGTGGATGGGTTGATTTTGTCATATGGGAGTTATAGTTGCTGGGATTTATAGTTCATTTAGAATCAAAGAGCTTTTTGAACCCCACCAACGATAGAATTGGGCCAAACTTCCCACTCAGAACCCCCATTCCTTAAAGGGACTTGCTGGCGCGAGCCTCCCTCCCACCTCACACACACTCCTTCGCCCACGCATGCACACCATGCTGCCATGCCCCAAGCATGCCTGCTCTTCCCTCCCCACTTGGACTCTCAGAAACAACCCTCCCCTTGGCTGAGAGGCCATTCAATCACACCGGAGGAGGGCTTGGTGGGAAGACAGGTGGAGAGATCTTCAGCCTTCTCTGCCAAAGGGGTTCCTAAGACCATCAGGAATATATGTTTTCTGGTGGTCTTTCATGACCCCTCTGAAACCCCCTTAACCCCCCCCCCAGGGGTCCCGACGCCCAGGTTGAGAAACACTGTTCTAAGATATGTATTCACAAACACAGTTCACCTTATCTGATGCAATGCCTAATGGCCTAAACTGTGTCCATATCCCTCAAAGTTTGTGCTAGAAATGTCTTCTTTTTGTCTCAAAGGTGTTACTGACTTGTTATGCGCCTTTTTAGCTGGCAGATATATACCTGCTCTTCCATGTTTGTCTATATCTTCATTTCCATTTAAATAATTAATGAAATGCTCTTTCATCTATCAAACACGTCAGATGGCCACAACTGGTTTTAGTTGAGAGAGATATTTTCAGCTATGTCAGAAGAGGCACCCAATCCTTTTTAGTGGGCCCTGACAATTGTTGCAATGTTTTGTGATTTTTCTATGCTAGATCATATCTGATGTTTTAAGCAAAGTGATGTAGCATATTTTACAACTGCAAATGTGGGAATTGTGCTGATTTCAGGCTCTTTATTGCTAATTGGATGTACATGTATGGCATGTACATTGTGTTAGTATAACATTCCCAATCATATTAATGATGCAGCACTGAATCCAGTGTATGGAAAACTATATATGAAGAAAGTTGTATAGTTTATTAAAACATTGTCAAAAAGAAAGATTGAATAATTAAGCTTTCAAATAGGTAATATTTTCTTTAGTATAATTTCAGTGTATATTATCTGCAATAAATCAAAAGGGTAAATCCTCTGGGCTTTTGGGTTTCAGCATCTTCAGTACATTTTCAGTATATTTTCAGTACTGTTTTCTTTCTAGAGTATACTTTATCAGATTTGGCTGCTATACAAAATGTGTGAGGGAATGATTTGGCCACACATATTCATACATTGGTGCTTTAAAATCAGATTATTATGTTCTTCATGAGGCTGTTCTAGAAGGTAGCCTAGAAACTTCAGCATAAAGGATTCCTCTCCCAAGCTACTAAAAAGAACAAGCCAGGATATGATAGCTGCAGAATCCTTTTCCACTTCTATCTCTGTTACATTGATAAAACTTTATGAAAATTATTTGAATTTCTTTATTTTTCTGTTGCATTTTTGCATTTCATTACACTATGGGGATTTGCATCACTACTGCAGTTATGTCAGTGTATATAATATTTCAGGAAATTTACAAATAAAACTATGGATTTGCTATTGACCAGCTCCTGCATATGAATTCTCCCAGTAATTATGATCTGATAACATACTGCTGAAAACCCAATTACCGTATATTCCAGCATATAAGATGACTGGACGTATAAGGCGACGCCCAACTTCTCCAGTTAAAATATAGAGTTTGGGATATATTCGCCGTATAAGACTATCCTTCTTCCAACACACACCAAATAAAATTTTTAAAAGCATCAGATTTGATTTCAATATGGTAATTTTCCTATTATTGTACCTCCTTCTCTGCCTCTCAGATCTCGCACATGTGCACCTGCACTGCTTCACTGCAGTCTTCAGGAGCGAGATTTGAGAGGCAGAGGAGGAGGTATGGTAATAGGATACAAGGGCGGACCAGACAGGTAAAAGAGGTATGTTTTTCTGGGCCCAGAGCCACTCTATCTCTTTTTTCCATACCCCGAGCGCCGGACGCCTGCAGTTTGCTCCGCCCTTCACTTACACCTTCTCAGTGAGGCGCCCCTTCACCTCACCATCGGGACCGCATTAAGTCCACGAATTCTGATGGATGGATTGTCTTCTACCATACTTGTACAGTGTCACTCTTAATGCTTTCATACAGTCGCTGCATACAGAAGGGACACAGCCATTGCCATTTTTGAGCTTCCCCCACCATATGCAACCGCAGATTCTCCAATCTGATTGGAAGTTTCAGCACCCGCTCTATAAGACGACTCCCGTGTATAAGACAACTCCCGCGTTTAAGACGACCCCGCGTATAAGACGACCCCTGACTTTTGAGAAGATTTTCATGAGTTAAAAAGTAGTCTTATACACCAGAATATACAGTATATGTGGAATCTAGGTTGCCTCAACAAAATAGAGAGATTTCTCTGTTTTGCTCTCAAGCTTTTGGAACTCCTTCCAATGGGAAATCAGCATGGTCCTTTGAGTGCCCTTCTGGAAGTAGGTTAAGACCAACCCTTTCCTTGTCCATTGAAAGTATAGAATTTTACTGTATTGAAAATTATTTTATAAAATCTCAATGATATCTGATTGGAGCACGTCATATTGTATAGTACATCAAAAATTATATAGAAAATTAGTACTACATAATCTTAATCTTCAAGTGATGCCTTATTAATATGTTATCTTTTCTTTTCTCTCTTCAAGATATGCTATTTCAGTTGCTCGGAAAATTGGTGCTTGTATATATGCCCTACCAGATGACTTGGTAGAAGTAAAGCCAAAAATGGTTATGACAGTATTTGCATGTTTGATGGGAAGAGGACTGAACAAAATAAAATAAAGAAGATTTTTCCTGTATCATCTGCCATGATAAACACAATGAATGCCTCATTGTTTACAGACTAACTACATTTATTAGCTGTGAAACAGAGATAATTTATACATATACAAATGTGAAGATGTATAGAGAGATTATTTAAAAATAATTGTTTATATTTAAGGTTTTATCTGAAACATTTTATATTATATCAGTAACTTGTGAGCTAATATTACTAAACACCACAATGAACTAAAGTTACTATGTTAAATAGCCCTTTAAAATAAGTATGATATATACTGTTTTCTTAATGCAAACATGATCTGGGTTATTTTAGGAACTGCTGTGAAATCAAAATTTTATTTTTCTGGGTTATTAACATGTATACATGAAGCATCTTCAAAGTCTGATACTGTTCCATTCCAGCACTATTATATTGACCAAAAGGTCACATTGCCTTATTGTGTAAGGGACTATCTAAATTTCCGTTGATATTTGGCTGCAAATTGAACGTCATAAATCCTAAGCATATTTCCCACTAAGTTCCAGTATACATGAATATGACTACTTCCTCTGTAAGAACTTTTACTCTTAATTAATTTAGCTAGTAAGTTAATCAATGAAAGTTTTAGTTGATTAAATATCAGGGATGCACTATTTTATTGTTCAGGGCAAATTTCATTTTCTGGAGTTACAAGGCAAGGAAATTACTTAACTTCTGAGGTTGTTTTGTTTATGGTATGCTGCTGTATTTGAAAATTAAAAAGATTTTTTTAAAAGGAAGGCTGTAACACACTTTGTCCTTTGGGTATGAGATGGGTTCTGGCTTCCCCTATTTAAAATCCCTTTCTTCTCTGGCATAGTTTTCCCACACCCATCCACTGTTTGCCTTCCCATGGTTAACGGCTAGGTCAGAACCCTTGTTAATCATGATTTGATTCTAATCAGAGGTTGTTGCTAATCAGGGCTTAGAAACTAGAGTTGGAAGCTGGCTTCACAAAGGCCTGGTGATGACAGTAAGCCTTAATCATGGATGAGACTAGTAGAGGAAGATGGAAGGATGAAGGGAATTTGCTCTGGAGTAGATGGTATATGTAGGTGGCCCAGCTCCAGTCCCTTTTGCAGGTCAAAGAATGGGATGCAGTACAGTTACTCTAGCCCAAGTATAGCTTTTTATCAATTTGAAAATTGTTCTGTGTGTCTCAGCTATCGCTTGATTATGAAAGTATGCAGTTTCTTAAATTAAGTTTACAGGGCAATTCCGTATCTTCTTTACAGAGAGTTGTAGTGATTTTATCAGAGCAAATTCAGTTCTAGCAATAGTGGTGCTTCTACCATAACCACTTAACCAGTCAATCTTGACTCTGGGATTGTGTCCTTAGTCAATGAATCTGTTCAAAGGTAGCTAATTAATAGTGGTTGCACACTGGTATTGTATTCAGAAAGTCTACTTATTTACAGCAAGTGTTTTAAATATGAGCATCCCCTGTTGAGATTTTGCTGTAGATACTTGTAATATCAAACAACTATTCAGTAAGGAAAAACACAACATATTATTATGGATTATGGTCTAGATAGCACAAATATAACAATGGCAATAATTGAAACAATGTATGTAATAAGCCTTGCAATGAGGGTAAATATTTGAATTTCTGAACATGTCATATAATAAAGCAATAAAGAGAGATGATGACTCCAGTCTGAGGCCTCCTTTTATATATGATGTACTTTCTTGTACATGTTTTTAATTGATGTGAATTTTCTCTTGTTGATTTTTATAGGAAGGATACTTTAATTAATTAATTAATTAATTTACTGCAAAGGTAACAAGTAAAGATTTCTCCTGACATTAAGTCTTGTCGTGTCCGACTCTAGGGTGTGTGTGTGTGCTCATCTCCATTTCTAGGCCAAAAAGCCGGCGTTGTCCGTAAACACCTCCAAGGTCATGTGGCCAGCATGGAGTTCTACTACATATGTGCAATAACAAAAACAAGAATGGCCCTGATAACATGGTCCAGAGGATACATTCTGTACTTTCATATTGGAGAACGTTTCCCATTCATGTTATGTAACAGATGGTATACCTGTGCATCTGGTAAAAATGATATGTTGGGAACAAATTATCCTGTGCTTAGCTTAAGACTGATATTCTCCATCTATTTACAAGCTGTCTCAATAAACAACAACAAGAAGAAAAATACAAATGTTCAAAAAGTAAGTAATCTAACTTGGTTTTAAAAAAACACGGCAGTAATTATTTTGCTGAGTCTACATATGAAATTCCATACAGATGTTTATTTTATTCTTACAAACACAGCAGCTTAAATTAAGCCAAGATTGAGAAGAGAAGGAGCCATAGTTTGAAATCCAGAGTCTGAAGCCAAATTTTGTTGAAAACAAAAATAAACTCATCTAGTACTTACATGAGCACACCGGGCCACATTCCAGTTTGTTGCTATCCTTCTCAAGTTGTGGTGCCCAAAACTGGATGCTGTACCCTAGGTCTTCTGACCAAAGTGGAACCCTCAATTTACACTACATTCCTCATGATGCAGCTTCTAAAATACCTGTATTTATTTGATTCTAAGACATACTTGTTCCCCATACATACATCTCTAAAAATAGGGTGCATCTTAGAATCATGAGTGCTTATATATACATATACATACACACGTGCGCGCGTGTGCACACACACACATATATATTGGTGGTACTGAAATTAGTGTGGGTCTTACAATCAATGACATCTTAGAATAGAAGAAATACAGATAAATGTAAATATAAATATATAGAATACAATTGTCATTTTTTTCCAGCTAAAATACAAAAAGTACAATATAATATAAAGCAAACTGACTGATACATATAATTTATTATTATATAAATGGTAGCGTTATATACTTGCCGTTGCCTGGATGTTGGAAGGGCTGCTATCTGTTTGTTTACTGCCTTTTCCATGCCTCCATGGCAATGTTGAGCAGGCTCTCTCTGTGTCCCTTTCTTTCCCTTCTCCTTTTCTCTCCTGCTTTTCTTCCTTCCTTTCCTTCTTTTCTTGCTTTCCCGTGCACATCTTCCCCCTTTCCTTTCTCTTCCTTCATCCTTTGCTTTGTGCCTTCTTCCTTCCCTCCTTTTTCTCTTCTTCCTTTCTTTTTTCTTTCTTTCCCTCCCTCTATTTTCCTTTCCTTTCTTCCTTCCCCTCATACATGTCACCTAGCAACAGCCAATCTGCATCACTCCTATTATTCATAGCCAACTCACTTCCTTCCATTCCTTTGTCCAGTCTTCCTTCCTTCCTTCCTTCCTTCCTTCCTTCCTTCCTTCCTTCCTTCCTTCCTTCCTTCCTTCCTTCCTTTCCCCTTCTCTTTTCCTTTCCCTTTCTTCTTTACTCTCATAAACATGTCACCTAGCAACAGCCAATCTTTTTCAGCCCCACTATCTTCTTCTGGTATGGGAGAATCTGCTGTCTACAAAGACTATGCCCAGAGGATGCCCGGATGTGTCACCATCCTGCGGGGAGGCTTCTCTCATGTAACACCTGAGAGTTACCCTGGACCATGCTCTGGCTTACAAGAAGCGCTGCTTGACTATTAAGCAAAAAGTTATTGCTAGAAATAATATCATATGAAAGCTGACTGGCACAACTTCGGGATCACAACCAGACACAGTGAAGACATCTGCCCTTGAGCTTTGCTACTCTGCTGCTGAATATGCATGCCCAGAGTTGAATACAATTCCTAACAGCTGTACGCAGAAGCATACAAGCTCGGTCTGTCATTGAACATTGAGAAAACCAAAGTGTTCTTCCAACAGTCACCAACCAACCTTTCTGCAATGCCAGAAATACAGCTGAATGGTGTAACATTAGAAAATGTTGACCATTTCCGCTACCTTGGCAGCCACCTCTCCACAAAAATCAACATTGACACTGAAATACAACACTGCCTGAGCTCTACGATTGCAGCTTTTTTCCAAATGAAGCACAGAGTGTTTGAGGACCTGGGCATCTGTAGGGATACCAAGGTGCTTGTTTATAAAGCTATTGTCCTCCCAACCCTGCTATATGCCTGCGAAATGTGGACTGTCTACAGACATCACATGCAACTCCTGGAACGATTCCATCAGCGTTGCCTCCGAAAAATCCTGCAAATTTCCTAGGAAGACAGGCGGACAAAAGTCAGCGTGCTGGAAGAAGCAAAGACCACCAGCACTGAAGCGATGGTTCTCCGCCATCAACTCCGCTGGACCGGCCACATTGTCCGGATGCCTCCACTGTCTCCCAAAGCAGTTGCTCTACTCTGAACTCAAGAATGGAAAATGAATGTTGGAGGCAGGAAAAGAGATTTAAAGATGGGCTCAAAGCCAACCTTAAAAACTCTGGCATAGACACAGAGAACTGGGAAGCCCTGGCCCTTGAGCGCTGTAGCTGGAGGTCAGCTGTGACCAGCAGTGCTGTAGAATTTGAAGAGGCACGAATGGAGGGCGAAAGAGAGAAACATGCCAAGAGGAAGGCATCAAGCCAACGTCGACCGAGACCACCTCCCACCTGGAAACCGATGCCCTCACTGTAGGAGAAGATGCGGGTCAAGAATAGGGCTCCACAGCCACCTACATACCCACGCCGGGGGGGGGGGGGGGCTTGAGGGGCTTCAGCCCCCCCCCCCCAATTGTCATGGTAGTCCGCGAGAAGGTACATTATTTAAACTGTTATGTTTATTCATATCATGATCTGATCACCATGCTCAATATATCCCATATGCATGGGGGTATTGGGGTAACGATACAAAAGGTTTGCTATGGTAGGCCCTCTTTCACTCAGACTCAGCCCCCCCCCCCCGAATCAAACTCAGCCCTCCCCGAATCAAAATCCTGGCTACGGGCCTGCCACAGCTATCTATGTACCCACCCCAATCTTACTCGGACAACGAGGGATCATCTAAAGTAGTGGTTCTCAACCTGTGGGTCCCCAGGTGTTTTGGTGTCCCAAAATCCCAGCCAGTTTAACAGCTGTTAGGATTTCTGGGAGTTAAAGGCCAAAACACCTGGGGACCCCAGGTTGAGAACCACTGACCCAAAGCCAAGTAAGTAAGTACGTATGCCTGGATCTAGTGGTTCTCAACCTGTGGATCTTCAGGTGTTTTGGCCTACAACTCCCGGAAATCCCAGCCATTTTACCAGTTGTTGGGATGTCTGGGAGTTGAAGGCCAAAGCATCTGGGGACCCCAGGTTGAGAACCACTGACCTAAAGCCAAGTAAGTAAGTATGCCTGAATCTAGTGGTTCTCAACCTGTGGATCCTCAGGTGTTTTGGCCTACATCTCCCAGAAACCCCAGCCAGTTTACCATCTGTTGGGATGTCTGGGAGTTAAAGGCCAAAACATCTGAGGACCCAAAGGCTGAGAACCACTGGCCTAAGCAAAGTAAGTAACTAAATGTAGACCTATGGTTCTCAACCTGTGGATCCTCGGGAGTTTTGGCCTACAACTCCCAGAAATTTCAGCCAGTTGACCAGCTGTTGGGATGTCTGGGAGTTGAAGGCCAAAGCATCTGGGGACCCCAGGTTGAGAACCACTGACCTAAAGCAAAGTAAGTAAGTATGCCTGAATCTAGTGGTTCTCAACCTGTGGTCCTCAGGTGTTTTGGCCTACAACTCCCAGAAATCCCAGTCAGTGTGCCAGCTGTTAGGATTTCTGGGATTGAAATGCCAGCAATCTCTAGGCACCGATAGGAAAGAACCCAAGCTGGAGGCCCCAGACCAGTGCTTCTCAACCTGTGGATTCCCAGGTGTTTTGGCCTACAACTCCCAGAAATCCCAGCCAGTTTACCAGCTGTTGGGATGTCTGGGAGTTGAAGGCCAAAGCATCTGGGGACCCCAGGTTGAGAACCACTGACCTAAAGCAAAGTAAGTAAGTATGCCTGAATCTAGTGGTTCTCAACCTGTGGATCCTCAGGTGTTTTGGCCTACAACTCCCAGAAATCCCAGTCAGTTTGCCAGCTGTTGGGATGTCTGGGAGTTGAAGGCCAAAACATCTGGGGACCCACAGGTTGAGAACCACTAGATTCAGGCATACTTACTTACTTTATAGAATCATAGAATCAAAGAGTTGGAAGAGACCTCATGGGCCATGCAGTCCAACCCCCTGCCAAGAAGCAGGAATATTGCATTCAAAGCACCCCTGACAGATGGCCATCCAGCCTCTGTTTAAAAGCTTCCAAAGAAGGAGACTTCACCACACTCTGGGGCAGAGAGTTCCACTGCTGAACAGCTCTCACAGTCAGGAAGCTCTTCCTCGTGTTCAGATGGAATCTCCTCTCTTGTAGTTTGAAGCCATTGTTCCGCGTCCTAGTCTCCAGGGCAGCAGAAAACAAGCTTGCTCCCTCCTCCCTGTGGCTTCCTCTCACATATTTATACATGGCTATCATATCTCCTCTCAGCCTTCTCTTCTCCAGGCTAAACATGCCCAGTTCCTTAAGCTGCTCCTCATAGGGCTTGTTCTCCAGACCCTTGATCATTTGAGTCGCCCTCCTCTGGACACATTCAAGCTTGTCAATATCTACACACTGTACATTTAGCGCAGTTTTGATGCCACTTGAACTGCCATCCAGGGCTTAATGCTATGTATAAGAATAATGAGAGTTTTGTTTTGTCCAGACACTAGCACTCCTTGGCAGGTAAAGGAGAAAGCCCTTGTAAAACGAAAACATCCCATAGCATTTAATAGCCATGGCAATTAAAAGGGTGTCAAAGCATATTGATTTAAAGGTAGAGATGTGAAGAGAGAGTGGGGCAGGAGACAGTCCTATCTTCTCTTCTGTGCTTTACTTATAATACAATATATTGCATATACATATAATATTGATAATATTGCAATGTAATACAATATAATACTAATAATATTGAAACAGGCTAAACATGCCCAGTTCCTTAAGCCGCTCCTCATAGGGCTTGTTCTCCAGACCCTTGATCATTTTAGTCGCCCTCCTCTGGACACATTCCAGCTTGTCAATATCTCTCTTGAATTGTGGTGCCCAATCTAATCTAGCTATCCTAACAATATTAGAAATGGACACAGCAAGGCTGCCAATGAGAGAGAGAGAGAGAGAGAGTGAGGGCCAGGTGAGGGAAACCTCCCTCCAAAAGCAGAAGCTGAGGAGAAATCACGTCACACGGAGAAAGGGATGGAGGAGCCCTTCTGCGCATGCGCGGCGGTGACAGCGGCGCGAGCCTCGCTTCTTGGCTTTGACAGCTCCAGCGTCGCTGGCCTTTTCCGTCGGATTTCGGCGACGCCCTTCGTGGCTGTTGGTGAGGGAGAAGGAGGAGGAGGAGGCCCCTTAGCGACGCCTTCTCCCCCGATGGGCCTTTGCCTGGCCCCGGCGCCATGGCGGCCCTTTACCAGAGCTCGGACCCGTCGGCCTCGGCCTCCCCGAACAAGCTGCTGGCGCTGAAGGATGTCCGGCAAGTGAAGGAGGAGACCACCCTGGACGAGAAGCTCTTCCTCCTCGCCTGCGACAAAGGTAGGTAGGCCCGAGGCCTGGCAGGCCCCGCCTACAGCAACGCACCTGCCCTCCCTCCACATCCCCCTCGTTATCCCCATCCTCATCGCCATGCCTTGGCTTCTGCCTGGCTTTCCCTTTCCTGGAGACCGAGCTCTGGTGGGCTTTTCTTTGGCAGGATGTATTGAACTGCATTGACTCAACCTTGTAGATCAGGCGTGGGCAAACTTCGGCCCTCCATGTGTTTTGGACTTCAACACCCACAATTCTTATTTATAAAATCACAGGTCACCAATTACACAACTAAATATATACAGTCTATATAAATAAAAATGTAATGTTTGTTTGTGGGATTGTTGTTGTTGTTGTTCATTCGTTCAGTCGTCTCTGACTCTTCGTGACCTCATGGACCAGCCCACGCCAGAGCTCCCTGTCGGCCATCACCACCCCCAGCTCCTTCAAGGTCAGTCCAGTCACTTCAAGGATGCCATCCATCCATCTTGCCCTTGGTCGGCCCCTCTTCCTTTTGCCTTCCACGTTCCCCAGCATAATTGCCTTCTCCAGGCTTTGCTGTCTCCTCATGATGTGGCCAAAGTACTTCAACTTTGTCTCTAGTATCCTTCCCTCCAATGAGCAGTCGGGCTTTATTTCCTGGAGGATGGACTGGTTGGATCTTCTCGCAGTCCAAGGCACTCTCAGAACTTTCCTCCAACACCACAGTTCAAAAGCATCGATCTTCCTTCACTCAGCCTTCCCTAAGGTCCAGCTCTCACATCCATAGGTTACTACAGGGAATACCATGGCTTTGACCAATTACACAACTAAATATATACAGTCTATATATATTTGCAAGGAAGTCTGCAAGGAAGACTCCAACAATACATGGAGCGAGAGTTGCCAGATGTTCAAGCTGGGTTTAGAAAAGGCAGAGGAACGAGAGACCAGATTGCCAATATCCGCTGGATAATGGAGAAAGGCAGGGAGTTCAGAAAAACATCTATTTCTGCTTCATTGACTATTCTAAAGCCTTGGACTGTGTGGATCATAATAAATTGTGGCAAGTTCTTGGTGGGATGGGCATACCAAGCCACCTTGTCTCTCTCCTGAGGAATCTGTACAAGGACCAAGTAGCAACAGTAAGAACTGACCACGAAACAACAGACTGGTTCAAGATTGGGAAAGGCGTACGGCAAGGCTGCATACTCTCACCCAACCTTTTTAACTTGTATGCAGAACACATCATGCGATGTGCGGGGCTTGATGAATGCAAGACTGGGGTGAAAATTGCTGGAAGAAACATTAACAACCTCAGATATGCAGATGACACCACTCTGATGGCCGAAAGCGAGGAGGAGCTGAGGAGCCTTCTAATCAAGGTGAAAGAAGAAAGCGCAAAAGCTGGGTTGCAGCTAATCATAAAAAAAACCAAGATTATGGCAACAAGAATGATTGACAACTGGGAAATAGAGGGAGAAAATGTGGAGGCCGTGACAGACTTTGTATTTCTAGGTGCAAAGATTACTGCAGATGCAGACTGTGGCCTTGAAACCAGAAGACGCTTACTTCTTGGGAGGAGAGCAATGTCCAATCTCGATAAAATAGTAAAGAGTAGAGACATCACACTGGCAACAAAGATCCGCCTAGTCAAAGCCATGGTATTCCCTGTAGCAACCTACGGATGTGAGAGCTGGACCTTAGGGAAGGCTGAGCGAAGGAAGAGAGATGCTTTTGAACTGTGGTGTTGGAGGAAATTCTGAGAGTGCCTTGGACTGCGAGAAGATCCAACCAGTCCATCCTCCAGGAAATAAAGCCCGACTGCTCATTGGAGGGAAGGATACTAGAGACAAAGTTGAAGTACTTTGGCCACATCATGAGGAGACAGCACAGCCTAGAGAAGACAATTATGCTGGGGAAAGTGGAAGGCAAAAGGAAGAGGGGCCGACCAAGGGCAAGATGGATGGATGGCATCCTTGAAGTGACTGGACTGACCTTGAAGGAGCTGGGGGTGGTGACGGCCGACAGGGAGCTCTGCTGTGGGCTGGTCCATGAGGTCACGAAGAGTCGGAGAAACTGAACGAATGAACAACACAACAATATAATAAAAATGTAATGTTCGTTTGTGGGATTAACAAACTCAAAAACCACGAGACACCAAATTTGGACACAATACACCTAACAACCCAATGTATGTCCTTCACTAAAAAAAATGATTTTGTCATTTGGGAGTTGTAGTTGCTGAGATTTATATTTCACCTACAATCAAAGAGCATTCTGAACCCAACCAACGAGAAAATTGGGCCAAACTTCTCACACAGTTCTCCCATGACCAACAGAAAATACTGGAAGGGTTTGGTGGGCTGTGTCCTTTGATTTTGGAGTTATAGTTCACCTACATTCAGAGATCACTGCGGACTAAAACAATGACAACAGAGAGGAAGCAGGCAGGGACATCTAATTACCTCTCAACAAAAGTTTGCTCCAGGCAAACTTTGTAAGCTGCATCGAGTCCTTCGGGAGATGCTAGCAGGGTACAAATAAAGTTTAATAATAATAATAATAAAAAGGCACAGTCAGCCCATTGTATGCTAATCAAGGTGGTCAGTTGAAACATTCACACCTAGCTCCAGCAGTCAAGAGTCCTTTGTCTCACCCTGGTCATTCCACAGATATATAAATCCTTTTTCCTAGTTCCAACAGACCTCACTACCTCTGAGGATGCTTGCCATAGATGCAGGCAAAACATCAGGAGAGAATGCTTCTAGACCATGGCCATACAGCCCGAAAAAACCTACAACAACCCAAAACAATGATGGATCTGGACAAAACTCTACACGAATACTCAATATGCTCAAATGCAAACACTGGTGGAGTTTGGGGAAAATAGAATCTTGACATTTGGGAGTTGTAGTTGCTGGGATTTATAGTTCACCTACAATCACAGAGCATTCTGAAACCCACCAATGATAGAATTGGGCCAATCCTCCCACACAGAACCCCCATGTGGGCTACATGCGTGGCAGGGGACGGCTAGTAGAATCATAAAATCATAGAGTTGGAAGAGACCTCGTGGGCCAGCCAGTCCAACGCCCTGCCAAGAAGCAGGAAAATCGCATTCAAAGTACCCCCAACAGATGATGATGATGATGATGATGATGATGATGATGATGATGATTAATAATAATAATAATAATAATAATAATAATAATAATAATAAACACGCCAAACTCCTCTGGGACTTCCGAATTCAGACAGAGTTCTGGAGCATAATACTCCTGACCTCACAATCGTGTATGGATCGTCGATGTCGCAATCCCAGGTGACAGCAGGATTGCAGAGAAACAACAGGAAAAGCTGACACAATATGAGGATTTAAAGATCGAACGGCAAAGACTCTGGCATAAACCAGTCAAGGTGGTCCCAGTGGTGATTGGCACACCGGGTGCAGTGCCTAAAGACCTTGGCCTGCACTTAAACACAATCGACGCTGACAAAATTACCATCTGCCAGTTGCAGAAGGCCACCTTACTGGGATCTGCATGCATTATTCGCCGATACATCACACAGTCCTAGACACTTGGGAAGTGTCCGACGTGTGATCCAATTCAACAGCTAGCAGAGTGTCTACTGTGTACTCATCTTGTTGTGTTTCAAATAATAATAATAATAATAATCTTTATCTATACCCCGCCACCATCTCCCCAAAGGTGACCCGGGGTGGCTTACATGAGGCCAAGCCCGATAATACAATTACAATAAAATGAATACAAAACAGCAAAAATAACAACACAATAAAATAAGGCAATAACATAAGTGAACATAAGAAAAAAACAGAGCAGTGCAAGATACAGTAACAAACACACACAATGGGCGGGCCAAATGTACACATAAAGTGAAAAAACCCTGGATGAGATGACAATGAAAAAGATGTATTTGTAAGGGAGTAGTGTGTGGAGGACAGAACAGTGGAGTCAGGCCTTAGAAAAAGGTGAGGGGAAGGGCAGTATGAGGACAACTTGAGGGAGAAGACAACAGGAAAAAATATGAGGTCACTCTCCAAAGGCACACTGGAAGAGCCAAGTTTTTTTAAAAAATATTCTTTATTAAGTTTTCAAACACATATAAAAAAAAGAAAAATACCATGGAGACACAGGGAAATAGGGTAGGGTAGGGGTATTGGGGGGGGGGGGGGGGGGTAAAATACAACTGCAATCTCACAGTTCGCAATACAAATAGCCAAGAGCCAAGTTTTTAGATGGCTGTCCAGCCTCTGTTCAAAAGCCTTCAAAGAAGAAGCCTCCACCACACTCCGGGGCAGAGAGTTCCACTGCTAAACACCTCCCGCAGTTAGGAAGTTCTTCCTAATGTTCAGGTAGAGTTTCCTTTGCTGTAGTTTAAAGCCATTGTTCCGTGTCCTAGTCTCAAAGGCAGCAGAAAACAACTTCGCTCCCCCCTCCCTATGATTTCCCCTCACATCTTGTTACATGGCTCTCATCATGTCTCCTTTCAGCCTTCTTTATCGCAGGCTAAACATGCCCAGATCTTTAAGCTGTACCTCATAGGGCTTGTTCTCCAGAATCTTGATCATTTTAGTCACCCTCCTTTGGACACATTCCAGCTTGTCGACATCTCCCTTCAACTGTGGTGCCCAGAACTGGACACAGTATTCCAGATGTGGTCTGAATAGTAGGATAGCATGACTTGCCAGGATCTAGACACTATGCTCCTATGTATGCAGGCCAAAATCCCATTGGCATTTTTTCCTGCTGCATGACATTGTTGGCTCATTAGTAACTTGTCCATGAAGACTCCAAGATCTTTTTCACACGTACTGCTCTCAAGCCATGCGTTCCCTTCATTGTTTCTGCCTAAGTGGAGTATCTTGCATTTGTCAACGTTGAACTTCATTTTGTTAGCTTTGGCCCATCTCTCCAATCTGTTCAGCAATGACAAGTAGAGTTTCACTCATCCAATGTTCTGCATTATCCAACACAATCTGCCTCCCACCCGGATCCACAGCTGTT